ATCCAGCTCCCTGCTAATGTGCCTGGGAAAGCAGTAGAGGATGGCCCAAGTGTCTGGGCCCCTGCACCTGCATGGGAGACCCCAAATAAGCTCTTGGCTGCTGGCTTTGGTCTGGACCAGCCCTGGCCACTTTAGGCCATTTGGGGAGGAATCAGCAGATGGAAGATTTCTCTCTCTCCCTCCTTCTCCCTGTAACTGTGCCTTTTCCATAAATAAAAATAAATCTTTAGAAAGAAAATAAAAGCACAATGAAATAGCACTTCACACTCCTGAGGATGGCTAGAATCAAAAAGTCCGAGTAACAAGTGTGGGGAGGGAGCTGTTGGTCACAGTGGTTGACATGCTGCTTGCAAAAACCACACCCTGGGGTCTGGTGCTGTGGCATAGTAGGCCAAGTCTCCACCTGCAGTACCGGCATCCCATGTGGGTGCTGGTTCGTGTCCCAGCTGCTCCTCTTCTGATCCAGCTCTCCGCAAGATGGCACAAGTCCTTGGGCCCCTGCACCCACGTGGGAGACCTGGAAGAAGCTCCTGGCTCCTGGCTTCAGATCAGCCCAGCTCTGGTTGTTGAGGCCATTTGGGGAGTGAGCCAGCGGATGGACGATCTCTGTCTTCTCCCTCTAACTCTGCCTTTCAAATAAATAAATTTCAAGAATCCAAAAGATTTGAAAGAGAAAGAGTGCTCCCATCTACTGATTCATTCCCCAAATGCGCACAGCAGCCTGTGCTGAGCCAGGCTGAAGCCAGTAGCTGGGAACTCCACCCAGGCTTCCCACATGGGTGGCAGGGGCCCAGCCACCTGGAGCCATCACCCACCACCTCCCAGGGTCTCCCTAGTGGGAAGCTGGAGTCAGGACAGGAGCTGAGACTCGAACCCAGGCCCTGCCACGCATGTCACAGGCCTCCCAGACAGCATCCCACCTACTGTGTCAGATGCCCACACCCCACCAACCCTAATGAGCACACGGTCTCCTTCACGAGCCTGATCTGCCCTCCTCCGCCCCCATGTTCTGAATGCCATCTCCCCCCAGGGGACAGTGTGCAGCACCCAAGCATGTCAGGCCCTTGTGGAGGGAGCCCTTCCTCACGTCCATGCCCCTGTGCCCTGACGCTCCTCATAGGTAGGTTCCTGGACAGATTTCCCAGAGCTGTCCATCTGGGCTGGTCCAGGTACAGGAGAGCAAACCTTGTAACGGTGCCTCCCGAGGCCATGGTGAGGGTCAGGGGACCAACCTGAGTGCCACTGTGCATCGTGAAGCCCTGCGCCCTCATTCGCAAACTGTGAAGTCTGGTGCCTACATGAACAGACCGTGGAGTCCTGTGCCGACTCGAGCTGGCACATGTGGCACATGGTGAGGGAGAGGGATGCATGGAGGCCAAGATGGGGGTGGGGGTGGGGTTGCAAGACAGAAACAACTACGGTGTGCAACTGGTCGCCACAACTTCGCCCAAGTAGAAAGGAATGAAAGGAGCAAATTGCAACGAGGGCAGGAAGGGAAGCTGTGCGGGCAGGCGATGTGTGCATGGGGTTGAATCCTCTGCGCTCCAGCCAGGGCAAAGAGCCTGTTTATTGTCCAGCCACCAGCAATTCTGCTAGGGCAGGTGGGACAAGTTCTGCACAACCAAGACAGATTCAGATCTTGCCTCTGCCACTGTGACGTTAAGACTCACTTCCCTCACCTGTGAAGTGGGCATCGTAACAGCACCAACCACAGAGTTGTTTGATGCTTCAATGCATTGTGCTGTTGTTATTCAAAAAGACCTCCTCATAACACAAATGTGAAATACATATGCATGAGGGCAGGGGTAGGTATTTGGCACAGTGGTTAAGTCGCTGTTTGGACACCTGCATCCCATAATAGAGTGTCTAGTTCAAGTCCCAGCCACTCTGCTTCCAATCCAGCTTCCTGCTAATGCACACCCTGGGAGGCGGCTAATGATGGACCCAGTGCTTGGGTCCCTGCCACCCATGTAGGAGATATGGATGGAGTTCCAGGCTTCTGGCTTCAGCTGGGCCCAGTTCTGCCCATTGTGGACATTTGAGGAATGAACCAGAGAATGGACAATATCTCTTGATTTCTCTTCCTCTATCTGTATGTCTTTCAAAAAGAAAATCTAAATATTTTGAAAAACATGCATGAGTTCATAGAGATGTCAATAAAAGAATAAACCAATACATAAACGGGAGAGAAAAGACAAATTTCCTTAAAGAAGAATTCCAAAGAACAGATGCCCCTGACTTGAAGCAGAGCTCTACCAGTCTTTCCCCTGAGGGTGTGCAGAGGGATGCAGCCCAGCCTCGCAGGGGAGCTGCCCGGCACAGGTGACCCCCATCCAGCAATGAAGGCCAGGGTCACCAGTGATGCTGCATGGACCTCAGGCACCCCAAGAGCGAGGCGAGGAGAGCTTCCCCTCTGAGCTGGTCTCTCCAACAATCTGTGACGCCAGTGTACTCTTGGCAATGACACCAAACACACCCCACTCCAAGGCACAATCTATGCAACTTTAGCCCAGCACACTTTAACGCTGGGCAAGACCACAAAAACTCCAAAGTCCATAGACACCCAAGTCCCCATGTGCAACGGTGTAGTGTCTGCACAGAACCTGTGCATATTCTTCTGTACGCTTTAGATGGCTTAGAGCATTTACTATCGTGTATGTGCTATGTAAATTGTTTCACTGTATTGTCTAGGGAATAATGACAAGAAAAAAATCTGAACATGTTAAATGCAGTCTACTTTCCCTCCCCAAAATGCTTAAAAATATTTTTTTATTTGAAAGACAGTGACAGAGAGGGGGTAGAAGAAAGAGAAGGGAGGGAGGGAGGGAAAGAGAGAAGCAGAGAAACATATCTTCTATCCACTGATTCACTTCCCAAATGGCTACAACAGCCAGAAATGGGCTAGGCCAAAGCTAGGAGCTCCATCTGGGTCTTCCACATGGGTAACAGGGGCCCAAGTACTTGGGCCGTCCTCCACAGCCTTCCCAGGTACAGCAGGAAGCTAGATCAGAAGCAGAGTAGCTGGGACTTGAACCATTGGCTCCAAGTTGGGATGCTGGCATTGCAAACAGTAGCTTAACTCACTGTACCACAATGCACCCCTGAACTATTTTCAATCTGTAGCTGACTAACCACAGATAAGAAGGGCCAAGTATATACTATTTATTCTCTTTTGCCAGTGTCAACAAATTCCTTTTTCTTAAATTATTGTATTGCCATGTGGAGGCCAAATCAATGTCTGACAAACCTTAAATTAGCACCTCCCAATCCCCACTCAGTCATGCAAAACCTAGAAATTTCTATAATGACATCACAGTGCCTACCAGACTTTCTCTCAGAAATACTAAATACCCAGCTTCCTTCATATAACTTATAAAGGACTAATATGCTAATGAAATTAAATGGAAATACTGTTGTAATATTTATCTGAGAAAAGCAAGCTTTCTCTAGTCAGAAGATTGAGAGCTAACGACATTTAAATTTTTTAAAAAAATTGTTACTTGAGGTACAGAGAGCGAAGAAAGAGAGGTATCTTCCACCCCTGGTTCACTCCTCAAATGCCTACAACAGCATTTGGAGCCAAAGCCAGGGTACCCCAATATGGGACACGGGCACCCATGTCAACTACTAGGTCAAAATCCCACACCAGAAGATCACTTTTTTAAAATAATGACACTCAACTCGATGTCTTTTTTTCACATTAGTATCTTCATTGAATGACATCATTTTCAGTTCAGTAGAACAAGAATAGCTTATGGGAATACATATCTCATTTATAGGAAAACATGCTGGAAGTTTTAATAATGACTTTCATTTTATTCCTTCTAAATGATTCTTTTTAAGATCTCTAGAAATATTTTTTCACAAAAATTCTAAATTCAGAAAATAATGTACTGCCTTGGATTTTAATTGTGTATCTATCTTGCAAATTATATTTATCTCTGTTGATAATACGGCTTTCAGTAGGATGTTACCAGGATTCTGCTTTACAAAATGATTTGTTTCAATTTTACTTTACATAGGAGTAGTTCAAATGGTAAACCTAATTTTATTGACATATCATCAAAAATTACATTGTTTTCCAAAATATCCTTCTGGTACATATTTGAAGCTAATCTCTACCCTTCCCCTAAATACCACTCCATTTAGAGGATGACAAAAATTTTCCCACATTGTTTCCTGAGTCTATTTACAAAGTTTTAAGTAGAGGGAGAAGTATGTTTTCTGCAAAAGCATTAATAGCTTCATTTCAACAACTGAAGACTCTTCCGATAACAGTACAGTTAACCTAACAGCATCCCACGGAAGAATACACACATAGAATGAATGAACAGAAATGCTAGGAGACCTCTCCATTTCCCTTCCCTGCGGACAAAGTGGCAAATTGTATGCACATTCCTGAACTGTCAGCCTCTAAGTCACAGGCTCTCCTTGTTACCCCCAAATTCCCACCCCAGAACAAAGCAGAGGTAGTGTATCAGTCATGGCGACTTCTTTCAGGTACAAAAGAACAAACACCACAAATAAGCCCCTATCTAATGTTGTTATTTTTATGTCCTTTTTTTAAAATGTCCTCTCCTGTCCTTTTAAAAAAAACAAACTAGATGTTTCGAAATAAAATAAAAAACAGTTTTCCGAGTAGAAAGGGCTTGTTCACGGCTGTGTTTCCCATGTGACTAAATGCCAAACCGTGTTAGTCAACCCAGTGGCCCTGCTTGGAGAGCAAAGTGTACAGCCACCTCTGGCTGTGAAATCTTTATAACATATTTGAAAGGCAAATTGTGAGACAACATCCACATGGGCAGTTCTCCCCCTGGATACTTGGGGGTCCAATTGACAGCACAGTACATCTCTCTGAACCTCGCTCATGCCCAATCGGGAATGAACAGAATTTAGCTATGGAACTAGGAAAATCTTTCAGCTGTCTGAAAATATTCAGCTTCAGCAAAGCAGAAAAGAAAAAAAAAAAAAAAAGCACTAAATACATGTACCGGCTGGGATTGTCAATATCACATCAAGTCTTCATTCAGAGTTCTGTGGGTCAGATGTAATAGAGGAACTTTGATAATGAGATATGTGGTTTTTCGTGAATACTCTGGCCCACGAGGTAAGCCAGTTTATGGGCATAGTGGCAAGGAGCAGGAACTCGAATGATGCCCTTCATGGTAAGAAGAAAAATAAAGGTTATTGTTTTATATCTGTCCCATTAGTTTTCATAGACAGCAATTCAAAGGTGCAAAACGCTCCATTTCTAACAACGCACTGCAAAGCTCTGAAGGAAAACCCATCACAGCAACAACAAAATACTCACTGGCAAATTGTAGTACATGTGGCAGAGCTGGTAAGTTAAACGCTGTACCTCATCCGGCTTCAAGCCGACTGTGTCGTAGATGACGTTATAATGGGTTGGGGTGACAGTGCCATCCGTCACAGACTGACTCACAATAAAAAAGTCATACCTGCAATTACAGAAAATGTGGGCCTCAGCTTCTTGGAGAAGACAGAGAAGGCAGGAAAGCTGGCCTGTGAAGTGAAAGCATGTAGTGCCTTGTGTTTCACCGTTCTATCTCACCCCATGCACAGTTCCTTTGAACTCAGAAGGCCAGTTAGGGGACAATAGTTTGGTAAGTCTGCAAAGGGCAGTTAAATCATTGGCTCGAGCAGTAATTCTCATGGGATGTGGACTTAAATCATTGCTCCAGCCCCCACAGTAAGAGAATTCACATTGGATATGGCCGTAGGCACACTCAGAAGTCCAGGGGTGGAGGCCTCCTGCTTCTCTCCCTACGTGATGCACCCGGTGGCTGAATCCGTTCACACCTACTGTAGATACTGCATGTGCATGTGTCCACTGGCTGACACTCTGCTTCATGTCCACCGCGCTTTGCATCTGCTGTGTTCTTTGGTCCTGTCCGGCCTGCTGCTGGGTCAGTCAGTGCTCCTGCTTCCCTTTGGCTTTGCTCCATCGCTGCCCTGGTCAGGACGGATGTCCTGTTTTAGCTCCTGCTGTGGTTTCCCATGGACGCTCATTCACACAATGGACTTCACAAGCCACAGGCTCTTCCACTGCCCCCAGCAACGGAAGATTCTGGAACAGCTTTAGCTCCGGAACCTCTCTGATGTAAATATTATTTTTCACCAGGAAGTGCAGTGATTTCTACAAACCCTGTATATTAGTTATTATTTATATAATTTTTAAAAATTTATTTGACAGAGTTAGTGAGAGAGAGACAGAGAGAAAGGTCTTCCTTCCGTTGGTTCACCCCTCAAATGGCTGCTATGGCCGAGTTATGCTGATGCAAAGCCAGGAGCCAGGTGCTTCTCCTGGTCTCCCACATGGGGTGCAGGTGCCCAAGCACTTGGGCCATCCTCCACTGCCCTCCTGGGCCACAGCAGAGAGCTGGATCGGAAGAGGAGCAGCCGGGACTAGAACCTGGTGCCCATATGGGATGCCAGCGCTGCAGGTGGAGGATTAACCAAGTGAGCACAGCGCTGGCCCCTATTTATACAATTTTTAAAAAAGATATTTATTTAAAAGGGAGAGTTACAGAGAAAAGAGAGAGAGGGAGTGAGAGGGAGAGGGAGGGAGGGGGAGGGGGTAGGGAGGGAGAGAGGTAGAGAGAGGGAGGGAGGGAGAGATCTTCCATCTGCTAATTCACTCCCCAAATGGCTGCATTTCAACTGGGCCAGGCTGAAGCCAGGAGCTTCTTCCAGTTCTCCCACATGGGTGCAGGGTCCCAAGCACTTGAGCCATGTTCCTCTGCTTTCCCAGGCACATACGCAGGGAGGTGCATTGGAAGAGGAGCAGCCAGAGCACGAATTGTTGCCCATAGAGGATGCTGGCACTGCAGGCAGAGGCTTAGCCTACTACAACACAGCGCTGGCCCCATGCTTAAGACCTTCAGTTTCTGGATCTGAGGATTCAGAACCTCAGACTTTCTCCACTGGAATACGTCACATCTTATCTCCTGTAGGAGCTTCTAGCTGATACACAGCAAAGTGTGTTTTGCCTTGCATGTTTTTCTTCAACTTTTCTTTTACACCTCACATATCTATGTGGCTTTCTATTGGATTATGGAACTTTTACAATTGCATCTTATTTTTTTTTAAAGATTTTTTTATTTGAGAGTGGGAGACAGAGGGAGAGAGGGAGAGAGAAATGTGCTCTCCCACCCTCTGGTTCACTCACCAAAAGGCTTCAATGGCCAGGGCTGGGCCAGGCAGAAGCCAGGAGCCTGGAGTTTCATCCAGGTCCCCCACATCGGTGTCAGGGGCCCAAACACCCAGGTCTCCCACATGGGTGGCAGGAGCCCAGGTACTTGGACCATTCTGCTGCTTTCCCAGGTGCATTAGCAGGGAGCTGGATCAGAAGTGGAGCAGCTGTGACTCCAACAAGTGCCCACGTGGGATGCCAGTACTGCAGACAGTGCCTTTATCCACTTTGCCACAATGCTGGCCCCTTAAAATGCATTTTCTATTGGGTCTCTTCTGCTGTTTAACCCTGATGCTAATTCCACACTCCCCACCCCCCCACCACTTTGGCTATGATTATTAGATATTCAAATACAAGTTGGCCTTTTAATTCAGCATTTCTTTGTTTTTTTCTTACAACCTTCTTTTTTTTTTTTTTTAAAGATTTTATTTATTTGAGAGGTAGAGTTACAGACAGTGAGAAGGAGAGAAAGGTCTTCCGTCCATTAGTTCACTCCCCAGATGGCCACAACGGCTGGAGCTGTGCCAATCTGAAGCCAAGAGCCAGGTGCTTTCTCCTGGTCTCCCCCATGCAGGTGCAGGGGCTCAAGCACGTGGGCCATCTTCTGCTGCTTTCCCAGGTCATAGTAGAGAGCTGGATTGGAAGAAGGGCAGCTGGGACTAGAACCAGTGCCCATATGGGATGCTGGCACCACAGGCAGATGATTAACCTACTGCACCACGGTGTCGGTCCCTCTTACAGCCTTTATTACATTTCTGAATCTTCTCATTCAATATATTCATGTGAATAAAGAAGGTCTGCAACCATTTCATTATTTCAGAGTCTGGAGGGTGCAATCCTTTGGTCATTTTGCCTGCTGGCTCTCACTCACAGTGGATTGCTTCCTTGTAACAAGAAACACCAACTCCCAGGTCACCATTCTGAAATACTGCATTATGTTCACTAACAGCAGGGCTAACATTACACGGCTCAAATGTATTTTGTAGTTTATCCATTATGCATAAGATTTTGGCAACATGCCATTCATCCAGGTTCTTGGAGGACAAGTGTCACAAGAGAAACTGGTCCCTACTGTTTGTTTCCTCGTTTCTCCTTTTAAAAGCAGCAAACCATTTTAAAAATAGAAGATGTCCCAAAGCTATTACGAATATAAACATTTTGATGGCTAGGGTATAAATCAATATAATGAGATCTGCGATGACTCCCAATTGTCAATATAAATATAACTTCCTACCTTCTGTATTAAGAAAGCAGTTTTAGGGCTACAGGAAAATTAATGTTTATTTGGCCACAGATATAAACATTAACTTATGAAACACAAGACAATTCACAACTTCTAAACTCAAACAAAGGATCTCTGACCCATTGTCAAAAAAAAATTTGAATTGGCCGTAAAGAATCAGAAATGCTTTAAGATGAAGTTATTGGAAGGAAGTGATCCTGCTGAGCTGAAATGAACCAGAGGTAAAAATGTAAGCGACTTACCATTCATGCTTGGTCAGTTCCACATCGATTACTGTTCCTGGAGACGGATTCCGAAGTCCTCCTTGTTGCTCAAGAAAAAATCTGGTGTTTATTCGTTTCTTCACCACAATGAAAGTGAGATTGATTCTTTAAAAATTAGGAGAAGTGGCATGACAGTGACTTGGTCTCACTCAGCACCATTCACGATGTAAGAACATCACTCACTTAGAGCCTGTCTGAGCAACTCCGTGGATTGCAGCCCTAGCTCCGTGGATGAGGCAGCACCTGTTCAAATTCACCTGCATCCTGGCAACCTCAGGAATGTGTCTGCTGACCTTGCCTGCCTGGCAGAGAGACGGGGCAGGTGGGGCCACAACCCCATATGCAAGGATTTGCACAGCCATTGATAATAAGCTCTGTGCATGGATGGCTATGAATATCTGAGGTCACCACTCCCACCCATATCAGGACTGGTAAGGAAATCGGACAAAGAGAAAGGTTCACTGAGGGGGTGCCACGGGCTACAGCCATGTCCCCATCCTGCTTTGTACTCCCGCTTGCTCTTCGCAGCAGACCCAGAGTCAAAGGGGCAGGGGTTGAGCTCTCCCCTCCTGTCTAAAGAAGCCACTGTTTCTATCAATCCCCTTCCCCTCTCATCTCATACCTTGTTTGCAAATACAAAATCACTCATATTTTAGAAAAAAAAAAAAAAAAAACAGAAACATAGAGCTTCCAGAACTCTTGGACAACTTAGCACACCTACCGGACAGGAAAATTGGTTTCTAAGCAATTCACAAGCTGGGGTATCTCATGGTCCAGCAAGGCCTGGAGCTGACCATCTCCCACTCCATCCCGATACACGATAATGTTCATCGGTACCGATGGAATGTTTTCCAGCCAGACAGCGATGGCCCCTGAAAGGAAGCCAGAAATATGTGTGTGAACTCTTCCTGGAGACAGGCCAGCCCTTGCTGTTTGTGACAAGCTCCAGGATCATTTTTTCAATGCTACAGTTTGCAGGACCGCTCTGTTGCTTGTCTCTTCAGTCTAGTTCAAGATTCTCAACAGCAGGACTATTCCAAGTTTGAGCAAGGTAATTCTTCCTGGTGGTGGTAACAGGGGTGGTGGTTCTAAGCATCCTGGCAAGTTAAGCAGCACCCCAGCCTCCATCCCCTAGACTACATGCCAGGAGCATTTCCACTCATTGTGATAACAAGATGTTTTCACTCCTACGCAATGTCTGCTGGAGGCAGTACCTCCCCTAGTGGAGAATCGCTGGTGTGGGGTCCAGTGCAGCCACCTCTGCCAGACACTGACCTTTCAAGCAATCGTCCAACCCGCTCACAAGCTCCTGTCCCGCTTCCTGGATGACGCACTCAGAGTACCACCTATTTGCAGAAAAGTCAATCATCAGTTTGGAAAAACAGGACTCTAAAAATTTAATCATGTGGATTCTGACTTCATCTATGACCAAAAAAAAAAAAAAAATCTGATCAGCATCTGAAGATTCAATCAAGGCTCAATTCTTTCACAGCCCTACAAAGTATTGATGTTTCTCCTGATAGCTTAGGCTGCTGCTAAGTGAATACATTCAAGTGATAAGATAGAATGGAAGGAAGCATGAACTAACAGTACTGTAAGTTATTAATATTTTCAATATGTGTGACTACTGGAAGGTCACCTTCTGGGGAAGGCAACCAAATGACAACTCAGTGTTCCTGGAGTATCCTGATTATGGATCAAGGTCTCCAACAATGACTTATCCATAGTAAGCTTTGAGGGAGCACTTTGCCTTACCAAATGTTGCTTTTTATTGTCTCAAGTTTCTATCACCCTCACTGCATCTTTGTTTAGTGCAGAGTAACCTTATTTGACCACCTGGCATTATGTATTTGTTGGTCTCTGTCTGCCTTTTCCTCTGGATGGAAACTCCAAGAGACATGATCAGGACTCTGGCTCTCCATTTTAACTGCTACATTCCCAGCACCTGTACATGGCAAGTGCTCAAAAACACCTATCCAGTGAATGAAGACTTAATTTCTATCTGCTATCACAACAGTATAAGAGAGAACAGAGAAAACCAATGTTATATTAAAATTGAGTATTATTTCAATAAAAAACTGCTATCACTTGTAGAAATAAAGACGGATCTTCCTCAATGAATATTCTGTAATTTTACTCTTGAGGGCCACCATCATCAGTAAACATAGTAAGTATACAGCTTGTAACACACAAGGTACTACACACTTAAGAGTCTGCAAACTCATTCAAGGTGTACTGTGGTTTCCACTCGAAAGGGAAGGGAAGGGAAGGGAAAAGGAAAAAGGAGAGGTAAAGGACTCCTGGAGAAATGGAGAGGTCCAGGATAGAGAACTGTCTCCCTTGGCAGGTACATTGGTATTAAAGTACCAAGAAGACAAGACCCTTACTTAAAGCCCTTTGGCGATGTTTCCGTGTCTCTTCATCTACTAACATCTTCAGTACTTCCTGTGTTAATGGTTTCCATTAAGGGACTTATCAATCAGAGCCTATGGTAGGTAGAATTCTACCTTTCCTAATCCGTGGAACTTGCAACCCTATCAATAACATAATTCCTGTGATTATGTTCCATGGCTCAGTTGACTTCATGATAAGGACAGTTTCCAGATGGGTCCTATGCTATGAACTCCTGTAAGAGTACAGAGCTTTCTCTGGCCAATGGGAGAAGAGGAATTCAGTGCTAGTCCAAGCAGGACAAGGACTCAATGCACCTTGGCTGATTGGGAGATGGAGAGGTAATGTGGATGACCCCTAGGAGCCAAGACTGGCTTGTAGTAAACAGCCAGCGAGGAGCCAGGGACCTCTGAGCTACTTGTGATGCACAACTACATGAGCTTAGAAGAGGACCCCAAGCAACCAGATGGGAACATGGCTTGGCTGATGCCTTAGTTTCTGTCTCTTAGGGCCTTGAGAGCCATAAAGTACCAGATGTCCAAAGATCCAAAGGATTGTGTAGAAACAAATGGGTATCTTTGAAAGGGGCCAAATTTGTGGTACATTCATTAGGTAGCAAAGAAAATGACCTAGAGTCACTAATTTGTTCAAAATGTTTTGAGAGTACAGTTCAGCATATGTTCACTCAGATTTACCTCTAATGGTAGAGCTAGAAATGTGCCATGGGATTCCAAATCCCATTACGGTGGCATGTATCAATGCCATCTTACTAGTCAAAGCGATCAGTTTAGGTTCATAATTGATCATAAAGATAGGATTAAGTGTCAAAGAGATCACATAAACAAGTCCAGTGTCTGCTAATAACTGATAGAATTAAAAGGTGAGAATGGCGCTATGGCGCAGTGGGTTAATACCCTGGCCTGAAGCGCTGGCATCCCATATGGGCACCAGTTCGAGTCCTGGCTGCTCCACTTTCCATCCAGCTCTCTGCTATGGCCTGAGAAAGCAGTAGAAGATGGCTCAAGTCTTTGGGCCCCTGCACCCGTGTGGGAGACCCAGAAGAAGCTTCTGGCTCCTGGCTTCGGATTGGCACAGTTCCATTCATTGTGGCCAATTGGGGAGAGAACCATCAGATGGAAGACTCTCTCTCTCTCTCTGCCTCTCCTCTATGTGTAACTCTGACTTTCAAGTAAAATAAATAAATCTTTAAAATAAAAAAAGAGAATGATCCAACATGAGAAGCGGGATACACAGCAGACTCATAGAATGGCAGATGCCCTAAACAGCACTCTGGCCTCAGAATCAGCCCTTAAGGCATTTGGATCTGGCTAAAAAGCCCATTAGAGTTTCTCAGGCATGGAAAGCCAAGACACTCTGGCAAAAAAAATGACCTAAATGAAAGATCTCTGTGAGTGAGATCCCAGCAGAAAGAATCGGCCATCAAAGAAGGAGGTATCCTTCTCTGAGGGGAGGAGAGAACTTCCACTTTGTTTATGGCCTTGTCTAAATAAGGTCGGAGTTTGTGAACTCAAGAGGCTTCCATGGCCTTGGCAGCCTATGACAAGAGCCTTGGGTGATTGCTGACATCATAAATAAGAGTGCCAATTGTTAAATCAACAACAGGAGTCACTGTATACTTACTCCTTATGTAGGATATCTGTTCTTAATGTGTTATACTATGTGAATTAACAGTAAAACTAGTATTCAAACAGTACTTTATATTTGGTGTGTCTGTGTGGGTGCAAACTGTTGAAATCTTTACTTAGTATATACTAAGTTGATCTTCTGTATATAAAGATAATTAAAAATGAATCTTAATGAAGAATGGGATGGGAGAGGGAGTAAGAGATGGGATGGGTGGGAGGGAGGTTATGGGGGGAGAAACTGCAATGATCCAAAAGTTGTACTTTCGAAATTTATATTTATTAAATAAAGGGAAAAATGTTTTGGGAGTATAACTGTCAAAAAAAACTTATCCATCCAACTTGCAAACTTCTTTGTCAACAAGCATTAGTCCTATCTCTCCTCTTTGGTCCACAGACAACTACTAATTAACCAACGTTTGCCAAACTTTCCCACTTTGGCCAGCACTGTGGCATAGTGGGTAAAGCTGCTGCCTGCCATGTCGGCATCCATATGGGCACCAGTTGCAGACCCAGCTACTCCACTTCTGATCCAGCTCCTTGCTAATGCACCTGGGAAAACAGCTGAGGATTGCCCAAGTCCCTGCACCCACATGAAAGACCCAGAAGAAGCTCCTGGCTCTTGGCTTCAAATCGGCCCAGCTGTGGCCATTGTAATCATTTGGGGAGTGAACAAGCGCATGGAAGATCTGCTCTGCCTCTGTCTTCCTCTCTCTATATATAACTCTGTCTTTCAAATAAAATAAATAAATCTTAAAAAGACTTTCTCACCTTGTTAATTCTTGATTGGTGCTTGCCACAAATCCTGCAATTGACTTATGTTGGTGTGCAATATCGTGGAAACAATCGATACCAATGAACATTGTTCTCTGCAGCTTTTTGATTAAAAAAAAGTGGTACATTGAGTTAGAACAGCACGAGTGGAAGTGAACCATTAAGCTAAAAAAAATGTAAATTTAATCTTACAGTTCACAACACACAAACCTAAGAGAAGGCAACCAAATCCTACATACACTTATTTCCACCGTCCAGAGGGCTCCTCCCAGTTTGCAGTTTATCTGCTGAACAATCTTTGTAACAATGGTCAGCAGAGTCTGAGGTTTCTCCAAGGTTTTTGCCACCACACACTGGCTTGGAATCGGACAGTCGATACACAGGTATTTTTTTATGTCATCATATCTGTCTTTCTTGTCATTGGGTAGTACACAAACCACCTTGAAAGCAAGCAAACACAAAAATTCTCTGGGAATTTGCTTGAGAAGCAAGCCATCTTGAGGAGGCAATTGAGGTAGAGCATTCACAAACCTGGGTCTCTTATTAAGCAGATATTTCCGTCTTGAGAATGTGAGGCTACAAGATAGGCGATTTGGCAATGCACATCAATTGCTTGAATCTGCTCAATCATTGATTCTGGTTATTCACTTTCAGGAATCATATAGCTAACAAGGATGGGTTAAAAACAGACTGGGGGTCGTTCATTGTGGCATAGTGGGTTAATCTGCCTCCCGCAATGCCAGCATTCAATATTGGAGTGTCTGTTCCTATCCTGACTGCTCTGTTTCTGATCCAGCTTCCTGCTAATGGACCCGGGGAGACAGGGGATGATGGTTTGTGTGCCTGAGAATGCAGCAGGTGATGGCTCAAGTGGAGCTCTAGGCTTCTGGCTTCAGCCTGGCCCAGCCCCGGCTGTTGCAGCCAGTTGGGGAATGAACCCGTGGATGATATGTCTGTCTCTCCCTCTCTCTTGCTTTTCTTACAAATAAATCAATGAATAAATCTTCAAAAAATGTAGATTGAGCAATAACACCACCAGGATAGTCACCATGTATAGGATGATTATTATATATAGGGCACTTGCCCAGTATCTGGCTCAACCCAGTTCTCTCAACAGCCTACCATAGTGAGTACTATCATCCCCATTGCACCTCTGAGCAAACAAGCCTGATGCACAAGGTTTCAAACATCAGACAGGACCTCCAGTTGGACACTAACCAGGTAGGAGGAGTGTGCTCTACTTGGCTTGTTCCTGACCTTAATGGGCAAATCATTGCATTTGTGGCCTATGAGGCCTGTATAAAGTTTTGGGCAGACATCTGCTCAGGAGAAGGGCCTTTTCATTCTCTGTGAGGGTTTTCTTTTTTCCACTAGAAAGGCTGAGGAATTTCATCAGGTGCATTATCTATAGTGGTTAAGGGCAACATTCTTCCTGTAATTCATTGTACTGAACAGTTAGTCATTTATACTTTTTCTAAAAATAGTGCATTTCAAATTTTTGAATTTCTGGCATACTCATGCTATATTAATATTTCTTTAAGATTTGTTTAAAAGTCAGAATTACATAGAGAGAGGGGCAGAGAGACATTGAGTGAGCTTCCATCGGCTGGTTTATTCCCCAAGTGGCTGCAGTGGCCAGAGCTAAGCCAGGAGCCAGGAGCTTCATCTGGGTCTCCTACATGGGTGGCAGGGGCCCAAGTACTCAGACCATCTTCTGCTGCTTTTCTCAGGCCATTAGCAAGAAGCTGGATCAAAAGTGGAACATCTGGGACATGAACCAGTGCCTATATGGGATGCCAGCACTGCAGACAGCAGCATTACCCACTAGGCCACAACACCAGCCCGATCCCTCAATATACATTTTTTACTCTGTAGTGAATGTACACTAAGAAAGCCTATTTGTTCCTGATATTATTTAGCCTGAGACCACCTTTCATTCTTCTTCAGTCTTGACCATTTGGAATTCAGCATTTTCAAAGAATCAGCTTTAAAATTGTGAGTTGTTTCCTATTTAGTTTCTGCTTTTAATTTATCACTTTCATTTTCATTCTGTTTTATTTTCGTTTACTCTGTTCTCAGTGCATTAAAATTCAGAGTTTTTATTGCATTTAGAAAATGTATTCGCTGAGGGCTGTGAGGCCTCCCCCTCCCACAAATGATTTTCTGCTTCCTACAGGTTTAATGTAGAGCACTTGCATGGTCTTGCAGTCCCATAGATATTTTCTCCATCATACAGGTCTGTCTTAGAAGTCCTTGTGTGCACACAGCTCCATAGTTCCTGACTCTAACATACTGTGGTCAATGTGATACAGTTCATTACTTATTAATGGTTTCTCCATACTCAGCGGAATGAATTAAAGACAGAGACAATCCCTTCACTCAAAATACTTACACAGGCCGGCGCCGAGGCTCACTAGGCTAATCCTCCGCCTTGCGGCGCCAGCACACCGTGTTCTAGTCCCAGTCGGGGCACCGGATTCTGTCCCAGTTGCCCCTCTTCCAGGCCAGCTCTCTGCTGTGGCCCGGGAGTGCAGTGGAGGATGGCCCAAGTGCTTGGGCCCTGCACCCCATGGGAGACCAGGAGAAGCACCTGGCTCCTGGCTTCGGATCAGCGCGGTGCGCCGGCCGCAGCGTGCCGGCTGCAGCGGCCATTGGAGGGTGAACCAACGGCAAAGGAAGACCTTTCTCTCTGTCTCTCTCTCTCACACTGTCCACTCTGCCTGTCAAAAAAAAAAAAAAAAATACACAGGTGCTTGCAAAAAGTTCCTAGTCTTTTGGGCATAGATTGAACGTGTGTGTGTGTGTGTGTGTGTATGTGTAGGTTAGCAGGATTAGCTTTTAAAGTTTTCTAAATACTACCTTTATCTTCTGAGCCCTGAGTTTTCTTAGCGTGGTAAACCAACACTGTCTTCTAAGATTTTAGCTTCTCAGTGGTACAACCTGTCTCTTCCTGAGAAGAGCTAGATAAGCTGGCAGAAAGCACAGGAACACCTTTCAGGCTTAGCAAGCCCAACCAGGCAATTGAGTATTGCAAGGTTATGATGGGAGAGAAGTGGGACCCAGACAGAAAACCACAGTCACTGAAGCTGTATCTGCTACCACAGGAAAGGCGGCTAGGAGATTTATCCAAGAGTCTGACAGTCCCACAGAGGAAGAGGCATAGGAACGGAAGAACCAGGTCCTACAGCAAGGTCAGAGTGTTCAAGTTAAATTTTGATAGCCTACTACTCAAAACTAAACAGATTAGGTTGATCACACTGAGTGTTGACAAAGACAGTTGGCTACTGGAATAGTCAAGTTGGCAGTGAATTTAAACCTGTGGGCAACTGGTTTTGGAAAACTGAGTAGCAGTATATAATGACATTGAGCCTTCTGCTTTCAGGTATATCCCCAACAGGAATGCATACACACATACCTAAAAGATGCATGTGCAAGAATATTTACATGAGTTCTATAAAAGCCAATGTAGGAACATCCCAAATTGTTCACTGATATGTTAAATTTAAAACAATGGAATACTAAATAAAGAAAATGAATGAACCATGACTATATCGAGATGAACCTCAAGACTGAGAGACTCCCCACACTATGCAAATATGATTCTATTAAGATCAAGTTCAAAAACAAAAGGTGTCACCAAGCTACAGAATTAGGAGTCAAGGTAAGAGTTGTATTTGCAGGGTTGTGAGTGTGAAGGAGACAAACTGAGCACTAAATATAAGGAAGTAAAACATTTCACTGTGTTAAGAACCCTTGAATCCATATTTATAGGGGTAAATGAGTAAAGAAATGAAGAATGTAAGAATTCTTCCTTACAGAAGAGTAAGTTAGTAACAAAGATGGAGTACTAAAAGCAGACAAAATATTTGCTAAATACCATACTAATAATTGTTTCAGGCAAGAATTAACGAATGTTAAAATTTAGAGAGTGAAACATCAATGAGGAGCAAGAAATCTGCATAGTCTCAAGGATCTTCTCACAAGAAATATATCAGTTACAAAGGGGAAACATGCCTTTAAGACAATGAAATCTACTGTACTGCTCCATAAACAAATGGTCAGAATTAAAACGATCAGTTAAATCAACATCACATGCCTCCTGATAGGACAGACCGAAAGAACCCAGCATCACTTCTGTGAGAAGGCACGACTTGAATCTCATTATGAAGACAAGGGAAGTTCCAATGAAAGGATGCTCTATGAAGTAGCTGGCTAACACACTTCCAAATGACCAAGGCCACAAAATTCCAAGAAAGACCAAAGGTACTCTCCAGATCCAAAGAGATGATGGTGGAACACGATATTAGGAATGGGACTCTCTGGTGATCTTCTCTGGTCACGCACAAAAATACCTTCACATGAGCTAAGGAATCCAGAGATCACAGCGTGTGGTTAGAGCCAGGAAAGGTCCATGGAAGAAGGCAGGAAGGACAGTTCTACGTTAGTCATGTTACAGGACAGCAGGTCATGATAAAGAAAGCAGTCATCATAGGACTTTGCTTGAATCCTAACACCAGGCCTGCTACAAAAAAATATTCTGCACAGTGAAACAAATAATCTCCAGAAAAAAAATATGGAATTCAAGAAAGCACTTCTAAATCAAACATCTGATAAGGAGCTAATACCTAAAATGTGTAAAGAATTCAGATCAACAGCAAGAAAACAAGTAACCTGATTAAAACATGGGCAGAGGCTGGTGCCGTGGCTCAATAGGCTGATCTTCTGCCTGCGGCGCCAGCACACAAGGTTCTAGTCCTGGTCCGGGCGCCGGATTCTGTCCCAGTTGCCCCTCTTCCAGGCCAGCTCTCTGCTGTGGCCTGGGAGTGCAGTGGAGGATGGCCCAAGTGCTTGGGCCCTGCACCCCATGGGAGACCAGGAGAAGCACCTGGCTCCTGCCTTCGGATCAGCGTGGTGCGCTGGCCACAGCGGCCATTGGAGGGTGAACCAACGGCAAAGGAAGACCTTTCTCTCTGTCTCTCTCTCTCACTGTCCACTCTGCCTGTCAAAAATAAAGAAGAAAAAGGGAAAAAGGGCAAAAATCCAAAAAGGCATTTTGTAAAAGACAATATACAAATGGTCTACAGGTCTATGAAAAAATATTCATTATAACCATCAGGGAAATGCAAATCAGAACCACTTTGAAACATCACCTCACTCCAGTTAGAACAGCTGTTATTAAAAGACCAAAGATAACAAGTATTGGAAGGATGTGGAGAAAAGGAAACACTTGTATATTGTTGGTAGGAATGTAAATTACTACAGCCATTATGGGAAATAGTAGAGAGTTTCCTCAAGAAATTACAAGTAGAACTACAGAACAATCTAGCAATCCCACCACTGGTTAGATGCCCAAGGAAATGAAATCAGCATATTGGAGAGGCAATATGGAAAGAGGTACCTTCCATGTTTATTGCAGCATTAATTGCAACAACCAAGATTCTAGGTATCTGTCAATGGATAAATGATAAGGAATGTGTGTGTGTGTGTGTGTGTGTGTGTATGCGTGCGTGTGTGTGGGTATGTTAAGAAAGGTGAAATCCTATCATTTGTGATGCCATGGATGAACCCAAAGGACATTATATTAAGTGAAATTAGATAAACAAAGAAAAACAAATACCACATGATATCATTCACATGTGGGGTCTATGGAAGTTGATCTACGGAAGTAGAGAGTAGAGTGGTATTTCTTAGAGGTCAGAGTGGTCAGAGGGAAGGGAGAGTGGGAGAGTTGTTGGTCAGAGGATAGGTCACTACAGTTAAGCAGGAGGACCAGTTCAAGTGATCTAGTGTACATCATGGTGACAAAAGTTAATGAGGACAGAATGTATCCTTGAAAAATACTGAGAATGGATGTTTAGCATTCTCATCACAAAATGATAATGGAGTTATTTCGTATACTAATTATTTAACCCTTCCACCATGTATTGACTTCAAATCATGCTGTACAAAATATGTTTTGTATGTCAATGTAAAAAAAATAAACCTGGGTCAAATACTATGACATTTAATTCAAGAAACAGTGTGGCTTACACTAGGTGTTCTTCAGAGCAGTCAACAAGGGTCCCGTGGTGCTGACTAAAAGGGGACGATCTACACTTTATGTAACAGACAATAAGAAAAACATCTTGGTATTTGTGATTAAGAAACAAAGACTTCCCCTCAAGGTCATCCTGGAGGAAGAAGGAAAAATGGGAGATGGGTTAGATGAAAAGAACCCAAGGAACGGGAGAAAAAAATACAGTATAATGACAACTTGGTCTAAGATGCGGGATAGAAGAGAATAAAGATTCTAAGAAAAATAAAAACTAGGAGAGGCCATAGACTTAGCAAGTCACAACTAAGGGTCAAATAATGAATATGTTGGCTACTCTAACCTGCATTACCTGCATGGTGTCTCCTCAACCTTATTTTATACTTCCAAGTTCTCAAGCCTGAGAAGATTGACCTACAATGGTAACACTGCAGAATACTAAGCCCTGGAAACCTGCATCCAGTGATACTGCAGAGATACATTTACATTCCCTGGGTAATTTAGAAACTAATGGCAATGAAATACATGAAATATGTATATCTTAAATGAATTTTTTAAAAAAGGAAACCAATGGAACCATTCTGAATTCTACAATGCACACAAATGAAGTTTTGGAACAAGCACTGAAAAGACTATACACATCAGGTAGACACTTACCATCTGTTTCTGGTTCAGGTCAAGTTTCTTTAACCTGGATATATACGTCTCAAATTCATCAGTTATTATCTCCCTAGAAAACAACCATCATCTGTGTTCAAAAGGTAACAAACCGTGAAACACAATAATCATTTATATTATATGTCATCTATGGTATGAAACCACATGGTAATATCTCAAAATAACCACTTCAGTTCAAAGTCTGTTTCTTTAAAGATTATTTATTTGAAAGGCAAAATTACACACACACACACACACACACACAGAATATGAGAATCTTTTATCTACTGGTTCACTACCCAAACAGCTGCTAGGTCTCCCATGTGGGTATCAGGGACCCAAGCATTTAAGCCATCACCCACTGCCTTCCCATGCACATCAGCATGGAGCTGGATCAGCAGTTGAGCAGCTGGGACTTGAACCAGCACTCTTACAGGATGCTGGCATCACAGACGGTGTGATGCCACTGCACCAAAATGCTAGCACCAAGGGTTTGTTTTCAAGACAATAAACATACTTCTGCTTTCTGATTCCCTTACCAGGAACACAGAAGTCAACCTCTCTGTCCTAACAAGACAGAAGTCTAAAAAACAACCATTCCTGTAGGCTCCCTGAAAGAGGTGGGGATGCAGGGCAGACTGCTGCCCTCAAGAATGAAGTACAGACAGGCAAACCCAACCAAACCCCAAATCTCCCAGAGGAACAGGCTTGGATATTTAAAAACAAAATCAAAATTGTAATTGAAGACTCTATGGAGGCTCAGTGTAGACAATTGACAGTCCTGGGGTGGGGGCAGGGCCACCCTCAGGAGTTCCATTGGGTTCTCTCACAGGTAGTATCAGGGTAATTCTCCAGTGCTTCCAGCAGGGGGAGGAAGAGAACCTAGAGCACTGCTCTTGCCAACAAAGTCTGCCCTGAGGAGAACCTAGACACAAAGCCTAACCTTCTGGGCATCACCAGAAGGAAGGGAAAGTGACTCCAGTCAACCCTAGCCTTCCATAAGGGAGACGAGAAGTACCCAGCTGTGCTCCAGTTTAGCCCTCATGTCGTACCCAAGGGAAAGAAAAACTTAAAAAACACTTGTGAAATTGACAGTCCAGAGGCAGACACTCACCAGGAGAATAAGAACCTCACAATAGAGCCCTGGAACACCCCCTTTTCTCAACAGCTTGCCCCTACATGGCTAAAAACCTGTTACAACAGATCCTTATGCCCAATACATCATACATGGCCGTCAAGAAAAGATTCACAAGGCACACCAAAGGCAAAAAATCATCCTAACCAGACATGGTAGGGATGTAGGAATGATCCAGCGAGACATTTAGCACAGCTCTGATGAATCGGCTTGGGCTGCTATGGATTTTTAAAAGAAAAACTTAAAAAACAAGTTTAACAGAATTTATTGGTGCAGAGAATGGCTCGCATATCAGGAAAACAACTCGCAACAGAAAAGGTTCAGAGAACTTTGCTTTGCAATGTAGGCAGGTGACATTTATGGCTGGAACATGGGCATGAGGCACAGAAACAGCACGATGGGTAACAGTTCATTTGAACATCGACCGGTTGGCAGTCTGTGACTGACTGGAGTTCAACTGCTTGTTATGAAACCATACGGCTAAGTTAATCTTTGCATGTGTTTCCACAGCAAGCTAGGTTGCAGAATGCTCCACAGGGATTCAAGTGCTGAGGTAGCTCTGGGTCACATTTAGTTTAATGAAGTAAGATAAATCAGACAGCAAGAACAAAACAAGCAGAGAAACAGAGATCTTGAAAAATAAATGCTGGAATCAAAAAATACTGTAACAGAATGATGAATGCATTTGATGGCTGAAGAACAAATCTAAGCTTAAGGATCTCCCTTGAGAAGTATCTGAGTATCAAGAAGAACAAAGACTGAAAATAAACCCAACCAGCGAAGACTGTGGGACTACAACAGGTGTAACACGGACGTTGTGGAAATACCAACAGGAGATGAGAAAGGAACAGGAAAATTATTGAAACAATCATGACTGAGAATTCCCTTAAATTAACATCAGACACCAAATCACAGCCTAACAGGAGGAGTACCTAGGGAGCTACATGTAAACATAGCATATTCAAACTACAGAAAACCCAAACACGGGGAAAAATCCCAGAAGATGACAGAGGATTAAAACATCTCCCCTTTAGAGGAACAAGGGTTAGAGTAATATCCAACTTCTCCTCGGACACCAGGCAAGTGAGAGTGACATCAAATGTGTTAAATTTTGAGAAGAAAAACAAAACAAAACCCCATTGACCTAAAATCCTGTACTCTCAAAAGTTATCCTTCAAAAGTAAAGGAGAATTAAGGACTTTCTCAAACAAATAAAAATTGAGGGAACTTGATGCCAGAGTCTTCTCTTGTAACAAGTGTTAAAACGGCTGGTGCCGCGGCTCACTAGGCTAATCCTCTGCCTTGCAGCGCCGGCACACTGGGTTCTAGTCCGGTCAGGGCACAGGATTCTGTCCCGGTTGCCCCTCTTCCAGGCCAGCTCTCTGCTGTGGCCAGGGAGTGCAGTGGAGGATGGCCCAAGTGCTTGGGCCCTGCACCCCATGGGAGACCAGGAGAAGCACCTGGCTCCTGGCTTCGGATCAGCGCGGTGCGCCAGCCGCAGCAGCCATTGGGGGGTGAACCAACGGAAAAGGAAGACCTTTCTCTCTGTCTCTCTCTCTCACTGTCCACTCTGTCAAAAATAAATGAATGAATAAATAAATAAATAAAATTTTAAAAAAAAGGAAATCTGAATACCAGAAAAGTGATTGGGAACCAGTTCTTGACATCCTGTCAAGTTGCTAACTCTGATGCCTGCTTCCATAGGTAGCCCGATAGCCACAAAGCATGTATCACAGAAGCCTGCCTTGATCACACATTTTCAGGGTCTTGATAGAGACAATCACCAATACCTGCAACTGAGTATTTCCATTCCTCCATTTCCATATTGTTGATTGATTTTCAAGTTGGAGTTAATTTCTGCTGTACTTACTTGTCTGGTTTACTTATGGTCATGCCCATGTCAGGTGCAATTTTACTTAGAATATCTAGTAACTTATCAGCTGCTTCACTGCATCTTGTCGAATACATTAGTGTCCACTGATTCACTGTTTCCACACTAAGCATCCGGGTTTTTGTTCCTCTCATCCACTCTGCTTGGTTTTTTATGGCTTCAAACTGGCAAAAAATTACAAGATGCAGTCAAAATGTTATCCTTTAAAGGTCAACATTATCCAAGGTCCTCTTTATTGTAAATTTGCACTATTTCCGATTGAAATAGTACGATTTTAAGTAATAGCTGAATTGCATATTTTTGTTCCTATATATGCATGGAGATATATATCATCTCATTTATATGTGGAGATTTATATATATACATCTCATATAATATATATGAGACTGGAATCCTATCATAGGTTATAAAAAATTTTTAGTTGAGGGGTGGGCATTTGGCCTAGCAGTTAAGACGCCAGCCGGGATGCCCCAGTGCGTCCTGGCTCTATCCCAGACTCCTTGTTTTGCTAATTCACATCTTGAGAGGCAGTGGTAATGCTCAAGTAGTTGGTTCCTTGCCACCCACAGGATATTTACATGGAGCTCCCAGAGCCTGGCTTAGCCTGGCCCAGCCCTAGCTGTTGTGGGCATTTGGGGAGTGAACCAGTGGATAGGAGTTCTATTTCTTTGCCTCTTAGACAATAAAAAAATGTAGAATTTATGGAACTGGGATGGATCTAGACTTTTTTTTTTTTTTTTTTTGACAGGCAGAGTGGACAGTGAGAGAGAGAGACAGAGAGAAAGGTCTTCCTTTTGCTGTTGGTTCACCCTCCAATGGCCGCTGCGGCCGACGCACCGCGCTGATCTGAAGGCAGGAGCCAGGTACTTATCCTGGTCTCCCATGGGGTGCAGGGCCCAAGTACTTGGGCCATCCTCCACTGCACTCCCTGGCCACAGCAGAGAGCTAGCCTGGAAGAGGGGCAACCAGGACAGAATCCTGTGCCCCGACCGGGACTAGAACCTGGTGTGCCGGCGCCGCAAGGCGGAGGATTAGCCTAGTGAGCTGTGGCACCGGCTTCTTTAGGTTCTTAAAACTCAATGAAGGCACTGGCTCAGTAGGTACTGGAGCCTGTTTGAGTCCTGGATGTTCTGCTTCCAATCCAGCTCCCTACTAATGTGCCTGGGAAAACAGAAGATGGTCCAAATGCTTGGCCCCTGCCGCCATGTGGGAGAGCCAAATGGGGCTGCAGACTCCAGATTTCCACCTGGTCCTGTCCTGGCCTTTGTGGCCATTTGGGTAGTGGATAAGTGGATTGAAGATCTATCTCTGTAATTCTGCCTTTCAAATAAACTCTTTTTTAAAATAAAAAAAGGCCTAATGTAAACAATAAAGTGAAACTGGACATTTTTCCAGCAAGAAACACCAACTAACGTCCAGGTAGGGTCTCTTCACCCACCAGATTTTGTCTTACTCCTGCATCATCTTACAAATGTCTGCTGCACTTACTGCTACCTCATTGCCTCTGGACCTCTTCTGCTCCTGGGGGCTGCCCGATTCATGACTCATTCTTTGCCCAAATGAACTCTGATTTTTAAACTTTTTAAAAATATTTATTTTTATTTTATTTGAGAGGCAGAGTTAGAGAGAGAGAGAGAGAGAGAGAGAGAGAGGCAGGCAGAGACCAAGAGGGAGATCTTCCATCTGCTGGTTCACTCCCCAAATGGCTGCAATGGGCAGAGCTGGACCTGTCTGAAGCCAGGATCCAGGAGCTTCTTACGGGTCTCCCACATGAGTGCAGAGGCCCAAGGACTTGGGCCATCTTCTGCTGCTTTCTCAGGCATATTAGTAGGGAGGTTGTAGGAAGTGGAACAGCCAGGGTTGAACCAGTGCCCACATGGGATGCTGGTGCTATAGGCAGCGGCTTTATCCAATATGCCACCATGCCGACCCCAAAATGAACTCTAAAATTTACTCTGTCTCAAGATTTTCTTTCAACCTTGGTTCCTCTGGATTATTTTGATTCTGAGATATCTCTTTGGAAGGTCCATCTTCCAAATCGACTCCTAATACCAGGAAGAAACGTCTGTGATATTAACTAGATAAAGACACAATCCAGAGCCCTTCATGTACATTCTCACTGAATGCTTGCTTCTTCTCTTATACAGAATAAAGCCGTAGTCTGCTAAGAGGTGGTTTTGGTGTTATGCTTTCCTTGACCCCACCAGGACATGACAATGTTGACACTGTCTTACCCATCCTCTGGGCTGGTGGACTTTGACTTCATCCATAACTCTTCCTGAGAATGTCAAGAAGTTGCTGTCAAATTTCAGATCCCAGAGTTGAAGCTCATCTTGTACAGTCTGATCTCTGGAAAGGAAAATATTTCCAACAGGATCAAACCAAAGAAAATAGGCAAACACCAGTTATTCATTTGTTGAACACAGGACACTTAATTTTCCTCTAACCCAAAGTTCAGGATTGCTTTGCCCTCAATCATTATTGAGACGCTGTCGAGAAGCTCCCTGGATCTCTGAAGTCATCTTGTCTTGACTCTCACGTGTGTACACGCAACTCACAGCCTTTTGTCTCAGTCTCCCCCAGCCCTCCCTTGGCCTCATAACATCACAGTGACCAAAAAATTAGAGTTACTCTTCCCCAAATACTATTTTATTCTCAGATTTTTTTTCTTTAAATTTTTGAAAGGTAGAGATAGGCAGAAACACAGAGGGACATCTCTCTCATTTACCAGTTCACTTCCCAAATGCCTACCGGACCTGGGACTGGGCCATGCCATAGCTAGGAGCCAAGAAATCCATCCAGGCCTCCCATGGGGCAAAAGGGACCCAAGTGCTTGAACCATTGCCTGCTGCTTCCTAGGGTGTGCATTAGAAGGAAGCTGGGATTGGGAATGGAGCCAAAACTTGAATGCAGGCACTCTGATATAGGATGCAGGCACCCCAAGTAGTATCTGAACTTCTGAGCCAAATGCCAGTCCCTGCAACTGTCATTTTCTAATGGAAGAATCTGAGGTACCATAGGACATACATAGGTCTCACTGTGTGTGCAATATTATACACATGCAGATAAACTAAAAAAAAAAAAATCAGCACTCACTGTTGTACAGCTTTGATGAATTCTTTCAGTTCATTCTGTCTTCTTTGTGGACCCAAACGTGTATGTAAGGCCAAGTCCCTCATGATTCTTGAGTTTTTACGCATTGGATCTGTTAGACCTTTAAACAAATTCCAAAAGATACAGCTGCGCCAATAATAAGTCTGCATTAGAGAAGACTGAACTATGGTATCTAGTTGACCATCATCAACCCAGAGAATACAACTGTGGGTCACACAGAGTTCTTTCCATAGCTCATTCTTCTCCATCATAATTACATCTGAATTTCAAGAGAAGTTGTCTTCTATAGAGACCACATAAATCAGCAATACCTGTGAGGTAGCACAGCTCAGGGACCAGCAGTATAGGCTCACGTGGTATATCCTGCTGGCCCTTTTTCCATTTTCCTTGGCTGCTCAACAGTGGCTGATTTAAGTCAGTGATACATTCTCTGTAACGCTGCTCAAGAGAAGGAAGACCAGCAAGACTATCAGCAAAACCATAGTAATGTCACATAAATACGGACAAAAGCACCCATTCTGGGTCATATGGAGGCCCTGAGGCATGCTGATGATATTGTCTCCCCTAGCCTAAGAATGCATTATAAATACTTTTAATTCTGATGTCCCAGAGATATCTTCATTTTTTTTCTTATAAGCATGCATGATCAAAGAGTAGGACTTCCACAAAATATTGCACTGGAGCCATTGTGTTACTTAACAATAACAAAAACTTTTGTATATGTAGGAGTAAGAGACTCTCAAAGTAGTTCTTACCATTCTTACCATGGTTGCAACAGCCAGGGCTGGTTCAGGGCAAAGCAAGGAGCCTAGAATTCTATCCAGGTCTCCCATGTGGATGGCAGAGGCCTCAAGGAATTGGGCCATCTTCTGCTTTTCCAGATGCATTAGCAGGGAGCTAGAACTGCCAGGATGCAAACTGGTGCTCCTATAGGATGTCAGCATAGCAGGTGGTGGCTCAACAACGCTGGACACCTTATTGAAAACTTTTGACAGGATCCCCTTCCATAATGGAGGATGGCAAGACCTCTTTTTAATATTGCCATTACAGATCGATCCACAATATTCCTCCTATATTATCTCCCCTCACCTTAGTGTTCATTTCTAGTAAGAAAAGTCATTTTTTTTTAAAATTTTTTGACAGGCAGAGTGGACAGTGAGAGGGAGACAGAAAGGTCTTCCTTTTGCCGTTGGTTCACCCTCCAATGGCCGCTGCGGCCGGCGCACAGCGCTGATCCAAAGGCAGGAGCCAGGTACTTATCCTGGTCTCCCATGGGGTGCAGGGCCCAAGCACTTGGGCCATCCTCCACTGCACTCCCTGGCCACAGCAGAGAGCTGGCCTGGAAGAAGGGCAACCGGGACAGAATCCGGTGCCCTGACCAGGACTAGAACCCCATGTGCCGGCGCCGCTAGGCGGAGGATTAGCCTATTGAGCCGCAGCACCAGCTGGAAAAGTCATTTTCAAAGACATCATGGAGAGAAATTTCTACACTTACAGTGTAATTCTTGAGCAATTCAGTGCCTTTTCTTCTCCAATATGAAGTGGTGACTCTTTAAAGATCCTTCTATGTTGCTTGTTAAATGGTCCAGCCAGTGGTAACTTGGTCACATGAATTCTGGCATCATGTTGTCTTTTAAACATCAGAGAACTTCTGATCCATTGTCCATGGCTCTGTTATCTTGAGCCAGACTACTATGTTCAGTTAGTGTTATATTGTTTCAGATTATGTGTATTTTCCCTTAAGGTGGTCTGCAGTTACTGAAGAGGTATCTAGGACTTATCCCCATATCCCCATCTTTCAGCCTTCTCATGGTAAGAGCTTGGACAGATATTTCTCTATGTGGTAGAATCACAGCAACATTGTCCAGGACTCACCACCACTCCTACCACCCTGTCTGTCAAAGCCTTTGGTTGTGATATTCTTCCTTTAGGGGTCTCTGTAAGTCATACTTCTCATTTTTACAGTCTTCACACAATACCCTATAAGGCCCCTTACAACATCAACTTCCAAGAGGAAAAAAAATCAGTTCTGTTGTTTCTATTTGATCATTAGACTTCTTTTGAAGTCCAGGTTCAAATTTCTCATGACCCATGGCATGAATTCAGCAACTTTTCTAGATCTCATGACAACCCTACATGTGAACTATTGCCTCTTATTAGACTGAATTCCCACTAGAGCAGCTCTGAATAATTATTTCAAGTCTTACAGCAGAATATTCATTTTATTCAAGTGTATTTGCAGAGACAATTTTTTTTTTTTTTTTTTTTTTTTACACCCAAGACCCTTACCTGTGAACACACACCAGGAAAACAGTTTGCCTCATTATGCCAAATTCTTCCCAACCCCACTGCTCTGGGTTGCTAACATGCACGAATGAACTATTACACCCTATATGTGAACAACTAATATGCACCAGGCATGGCTTGAGGCATGAGAGATATTACAAAGAACAAAAACAATGCTGTTCTATCCCTCTTGAAACTCATTATCTATTGGGGAGAGGAGCAATAAAATAATCACCCAAACATGTGGTTACAAATTGGGATATACGTGATGAAAGAGCAAATATATAACAAAGTAATATTAATTGACCTCAAGCATGTCTGGGATGGTTGATAGGTTGGAGTCTGTATGTGTGTGTTGAGGGTTGGGAACTGTTTGGATATCCACAATAGCTCTACTGATTCAATAATCCTTGAGACAGAATTTATGGAACATACAAATATCATCCCAGGTATAAGAATCAGCACACATAAATTTAGGAGGTGGTGGTCCTTACCTTGTTTGCATCCCAAGCTTGTATTTCAAGGCAAGCCACAATCAATCACTTGTCCAAAATATCACTAATTCCTATCTACTCTATGCCTTCATCAAACTAGGTTGACAGATCTCTAACCCTGGTAAACCCAACTGTGTATTCCATGCCTGAAACCGACCACTAAATCCTCCTAACCAGTTCCATGGTTAGTCTTTACCACAATTTAAAATGGGTACGTTGGCCGGTGCCGCGGCTCACTAGGCTAATCCTCCGCCTTGCAGCGCCGGCACACGGGGTTCTAGTCCCGGTTGGGGCACAGGATTCTGTCCCGGTTGCCCTTCTTCCAGGCCAGCTCTCTGCTGTGGCCAGGGAGTGCAGTGGAGGATGGCCCAAGTACTTGGGCCCTGCACCCCATGGGCGACCAGGAGAAGTACCTGGCTCCTGGCTTCGGATCAGCGCGGTGCGTCGGCTACAGCGCGCCGGCCGGGGCGGCCATTGGAGGGTGAACCAACGGCAAAAGGAAGACCTTTCTCTCTGTCTCTCTCTCTCACTGTCCACTCTGCCTGTCAAAAAAAAAAAAAAAAAAAGGGTACTTTATTAAAATTCTCTGGTATGTTTCCTCTCCCATTCAAAAAACCCACTATTTTTAAGATTTTTTAAAAAATTTATTTGACAGAGTTACAGACAGTGAGAGAGAGAGAAAGGTCTTCCTTTCGTTGGTTCACTCCCCAAATGGCTGCAGTGGCTGGAGCTGCGCCGATCCAAAGCCAGGAGCCAGGTGCCTCCTCCTGGTCTTCCATGGGGGTGCAGGAGCCCAAGCACTTGGGGCATCCTGCACTGCCTTCCTGGGCCACAGCAGAGAGCTGGACTGGAAGAGGAGCAACTGGGACTAGAACCGGTGCCCATATGGGATGCTGGCACCACAGGCAGAGGATTAACCTAGTGTGCCATGGCGCCCGCCCCACAAACCTACTATCTTACACTTTCTCCTCTCAAATATCCTTTATGCTCCTGCCCTCCTCCCACCAAGTCAGCCTTGCTTCATACTGAGAAACAGGAGACTTCAGACAGGAGCTCCCTCACCTTGCACCTGCCATTGATCTGCCTCCCTGGAGGCATGCTCTTTATTAGCCCTCTCAATAATACAGGGCAGAGGACTGCTCCAGAGGAAGGATTTATAGTCTCCTAATTGAGCTGAATTTTAGCCTCTTCTCACTTTGGGATTATTGCTCCCACCATTAACCCAATAGAATCTCTTTGCATTCTGTGTTACTAATTTCTCACTCTATTAGATGATTTTCTGCCAGGATACAGGCAGGTTAGAGTTTTCAGTAACCTTTAAAGGTCTTCTCAGCAGGAGGTGGCTTCTCAAAGTGGAAAGAAGCCATCTCCTGCTGGAGCCCCGTCTTGACTGCCCTTCCCAACGATGCCGCTTTTCAACATGAAGCAACCATAGAGATCATCGCTCAATCCCCCTAACAGATGTTAGGGTCCATACTTCTTGAGAGGGGCATTTGAGGAGTCAGATGGGTTAATAGGCAGTCAGGATGGTTCCAGTGGAATTTGGGGTATAGAGGGCTTGCTTCCCCCCAAAAGGTTATCTTTAACAAGATCAAAATGTCTGCACTCCTTCCTAAGGAATTTCCAAATTTGTCATGAGAATAGCAAAGGAATGTGACTCCTGGGCTCACAGTTTATTGTGAAAACAAGTTACCTAACCCACCCTTCTGGATGGCTTTTTTGTTTTATTGGGAGCAAGCCAGACAGGATACAGGATTGTAAATCAGGTCTTTTGTTGGGTTGGCCCCCACCTTATACTGACAGTTTCTTCCCCACTATTGTACTTAGAAACCTCACTACCACCAGCCCTTTGGGTTTTGCCTTTCTAGGAGCCCTCCCCCTCCCCCCCATGCCACTCTGGCTGGAGTTCACTGACTCATAAATCTTGCTTATTCCATCTCCTACAGCATACATATCTTTTCTTTTTGTAGAAAATCTTGCTTTGATTTTTCTTTAGTAATTCTCACCTGGACAATCCTCACTATGACCTGACAAACAAAGTGCATTTGCTTCTTTATCAGCCCTCATATTAAGACTGAAGTGTCCAAGAATTTGGAGATTTGGATATTAACACATGATTGTTATCATTTTAGATTGTATTGTGCATTTTTATTCTTTGAGGCCCAAGCTCTATGAGTTAAGACTTCTAGATAATATTTTCATATCTAAAGTGTTAGGAAACTGGCACAGTTTTAGCCAGGTGGCCACATGGCCCAATCTCTGTGGTCAAGCTCCACCCCCATCCTAATGGGATTCGCTGCTCCTGCTTCCCTGCCCGCCCTCAGGCAAAGTTTTAAAAGGGCCTGAACACATGCTCTCTTGGCCCTTCTCCCCTGCATTCTCTTGGTTCCTCTCTCTAGCCTCCTTTCCTGCCCTCTCGGTTCTTCTCTCTTGGCTTCTCTCTGCTCTCTTGGCTACTCTCCTCCTCTCACTCTCTTCTCTCTCTTCTTACTAGCTCCTCTCCTCTCTGTTTCTCTCTTATACTCTTTCTCTTTCCCTTCGCTGCCCCTTCACTCCAGTCTGTTGGGTGTTCCCCAATAAACCCTTTCCCTTATTCTGGTGTTCGGTGTGTTTTGTGACCGCTAACATTAATTTCTACCTAAGCATTCATCTATACATTTAAAACTAGTATAATCACTTCCAAGACTGACAGAATAGACAGAAGAGGCTATGCTATTTATGTGACACTACCCTATATATAACATTTAAATACACAGACAATAGCATTATTTTCCTTTTGGGGATTTAGCTCTACTTTTATTCCTCATTATGTTTATTATATGTCCACACAGAACACAGACACACACACACACACACACATACACACACACACCTATTCAACTATTCAAATTCAACTTCAGAGAAACCTATATAAATGACATGAAAGGGGCTGGCACTGTGGGGTATCAGGTTAAGCACCTGCCTGTGACACCATCATCCCATATGGGTGCCATTGAGTTCTGGCTGCTCCACTTCCAATCCAGCTCCTTGCTAACATGCCTGAGAAAGCATCGGAAGATGGCCCTAGTGCTTGGGTCCTTGCACCCATGTGGGGGATCTAGAAGAAGCTCCTGGCTTTGAATTGGTCCTGCTCTGGCTTTTGCAGCCATTTGGGGAGTGAATCTGTGGATGGAAGACCTTTCTCTGTAACTCTGCCTCTCAAGCAAATAAATCCTTAAAGAAAAATGACATGAAAAATTTTACAGTTTATATGTAAGAAATAAAATTTCATACCTCCATGTAGTAATCTACAAAGGTGACTACACTGCCATCTGCTCTCTTAAATGTATCTTCAGGATATTGATCCCAATTAATGTTATCAATTCTGTAGGTTCTGTTGTTGTATCTGTGGAATAATTGTAACACATGACATTATTCCAGACTTAATCATTGTATGGAACCATGTAGGAAATAAGACATTGAAAACACTACAGGTAACTGCAAGACACATCAGATTTAGTAAGACAGAAATCATGTACCATATAACTCACTGATTTATCTGAACAATCCATTGAGTTTCAGTATATACAAAGTTGTACAAATATAAGTTTTAGAACACTTGCATCACCCAAAGAAGAAATATTGCCATAAGCAGTCACTCCCTATTTCTGCCCTAATTATCCAGCCCTCAGGCAGCCACAATTCTGCCTCTATACATTTGTTTACTCTTGTACTTCATATAAATTGAGCTACACACCATGTGATCTTTCCTGATGGCTTCTTCCATTTAGCATAGTATTTTCAAAGTTCTTCCATGCTGTACTATGTGTCAGTATTTCATTCCTTTTTATTTCCAAGTAATATTCTGTTGTGTGGATACACTAAATTTCATATATTCACTTGCTAGTTGATAGGTATACCATTGTTTATACTTTCAGTGATTATGAATAACATTAGGAGCACCCATGTCCTAATTTTGGTGGACAAATGTTTTCATTTCCCTTGGGTATAAAACTAGCGCGGAACTTCTGGATCACTTGGTCATGCTATGTTTTTTGAAGCAACTATGTTGTTTTTTACTTCCATCAGCAGTATAAGTAGGTTGGCTCTGATTTTTCCACATCCACACTGATACTTGTTAGCAAATGTTTGCTTTCGCTGTCCTAGTGAGTCTAAGGGGACATCTCATTGTAGTTGTTATTTGCCTCTTCCTTGGGGGTGGCCTAACGATGTTCAATAGTTTTTTGTGTGCTTATTTGTCATTAGTACATTTTCTTTGGAGATTGTCTATTCCTTTGCTTTTCCCATTTTAAGAACTGAGTTGTCTTAAAAACTCAAATTTTCAACGTTTTCACCATCAAAAAATGTTCAACACTTGCTAATCCATAGCAAAACATCACCTGGAACTCCATAGATATGTATAATTTGTATGTGTCTTAAGAGCTTAAAAACAAAAATCAGGTTATTTGTTGCATTGTACATGTGTCATGTATTTTAGATGTAACCTGTGACAGAAGACATTTGTAAATCACCTATTTGTCAGCTGTGTTTATTTCCTTCAACATTGTACTTTGAACAAAAGTTTAATACAGAAAAGTCCCATTTATCTTTTTATTTTGTTATTGTTTACACTTTTTATGTCCCATCTAAGAAGGTTTTGCCTAAAGTTAAGAAGATTTATTCCTGGGGATGGCATTTTGGCACAGCGTGTTAAGTCTCTGCAGTGTTGGCATCCCATATGGGCACCAGTTTGAGTTCTGGCTACTCCACTTTTGATCCAGTTCCCTGCTAATGTGCCCAGGAAGGCAGTGGAAGGTGACTCATGTGGGAGACCTGCAAGAAGCTCCTGGCTCTTGGCTTCAGCTCCTGGAGAGTGAACTAGTGGATGGAAGCTATCTCTCTCTTTCAAATAAATAAATTAATCTTTTTTAAAAGTTTGTATAAAATATTTACTCCTATTTTTCCCCCTAAGAAAATTATACTTTTAGCTCTTACACTTAGGTCTATTTTGAGTTCATTCTTGAGTTAAATTTGAGTTACCACTGTGTGTTGTGTGTGAAGAAGGGGAACGTGGATACTCAGTTGTCCTAGCAATATCTTGAAATGATTCTTCTTTCCCCTGTTAGAACTGTCTTGACACCCTTGTCAAAAGTCAGACTGTTGGGTGTGAGGGTTAACTGTGGGTTCTTAACTATATCCCATAGGTCTATATGTAGCTTAAAGGTAGCTTAATACCTGTAGCACCCTGTTTAATAATTATGGAATTGTCACAAGTTTTGAAGTTGGGCAATATAAGTCACTTTTTTTTTTTTTTTTTTTACAGGCAGAGTGGACAGGGAGAGAGAGAGAGACAGAGAGAAAGGTCTTTCTTTTGCCGTTGGTTCACCCTCCAATGGCCGCCGCGGCCAGCGCATTGCGGCCAGTGCACCACGCTGATCCGAAGGCAGGAGCCAGGTGCTTCTCTTGGTCTCCCATGGGGTACAGGGCCCAAGGACTTGGGCCAACCTCCACTGCACTCCCGGGCCACAGCAGAGAGCTGGCCTGGAAGAGGGGCAACCAGGACAGAATCCGGTGCCCCGACCGGGACTAGAACCCGGTGTGCCGGCGCTGCAAGGCGGAGGATTAGCCTATTGAGCCGTGGCACCGGCCAGTCACTTGTTCTTAAAGTTAATTTTCTTATTGAGTTAATATCTTTAAGGTAGAAGGGAAGTTCAAAATAAAACTGCCTTTAAATTGAAAGTTGCTGATGGATCACAAAACAGCTAGATATGTACAACAAACAGAAAAAGGAAAGGAATTCTGTTATGTGCAATTAAGGGTTCAGAGCAAAGAGATTCTAAGGATAGCATCAGGCACTGTAAGGACAACATCATCTGTACATATTCTGCCAAGTTGCATGACCAGGCGAGGAAAGTGTCCAATGATCATGCTGTGTTTATACTCTTTCTACTCCCAAACTTCAGCATTTAACTGTTAGAAAACCATAGGCCCATCTGTTGTGGGAAGGTCAAAGTGGTTGCTTTTTGAAAATCAGACTTACTTTGTGATTATAATTGATCCAATTAGTTCTTCCTCCACTCTCTTCTTCCAATCTCCATATTGGGTGTTTTCATAGATCCTTACTATTATATCGTAAGCAGTTTCCATTCGGATCAGTTTGTGACTCACATCAGCACAGAGGGTAAGGCTGTTTTCGTATTGCAGAATAGACGTAATATAGCCAGGCCAGATTTCCATCCTGCAAACAGTAAGTGACATGATGATCTTCAAGTCCAAGTTTGCAACATGAAGCCAAGCTTTTCAGGGCCTGAGCTCTAAGACAAATACTTAGCAGTCATTTGCTCCCAATTCCTTTTTAGTAAGGACTGGCCTTTTTGAAGGATCTCCAAATAAAGATTGACCAGATGTGCTACTTAAAAGTAATACATCATCTTTGTTAGACCATTTTTATTATCACTTATAGGCTTAGCTCTCCATCTGTATACATAAAATATAGAACTTTTACAATTAGCTTCTTTATGTGTCAATAAGGAATATAAACACATACAAATCAGCTTAATTGCTATGATTGAGGTATTTTCAAGGAAAAATTTGTCACCCAGGTTTTAGGGTTCCTGTGATGTTTGCAGAACCAAATACTTTAAAATTTTAGCATAAATCATGAACCATAAACAGGAAACTTTTCACTGCATTTTTTTTTAAATTTTTTGACAGGCAGAGTGGACAGTGAAAGAGAGACAGAGAGAAAGGTCTTCCTTTGCCGTTGGTTCACCCTCCAATGGCCACCGCGGCTGGCGCACCACGCTGATCCGAAGGCAGGAGCCAGGTGCTTCTCCTGGTCTCCCATGGGGTGCAGGGCCCAAGCACTTGGGCCATCCTCCACTGCACAGCCAGGCCACAGCAGAGAGCTGGCCTGGAAGAGGGGCAACCGGGACAGAATCTGGCGCCCCGACCGGGACTAGAACCCGGTGTGCCAGCGCCGCAAGGCGGAGGATTAGCCTAGTGAGCCGTGGCGCCGGCCATTTTCACTGCATTTTAAATTTACATTAAACTGAAAACTTAATTGCTAATGATTGGTGGGTACCACTAAAAAGGCCATCCCTTATAAATCATACCACTTCCCACGAGAGTAACTTTCTCAAAAGAATTATATGGTCAAGTCTATAGAATACAAGATTTCTCCACTTTATACACACTTATGTTCATGGAACTCCATTGCTTTCTTGTTGTTGTAATAGTTGCGACCAATTTGCTTCAAATTCATCAACTTCAGAACTCTAGAAATTGAAAGAACAAGTTTTGTTGTAAATACACTCATTATTAAGCAGTTGGTAACACATAAGAATTCATTAGGAAAAACAAGCTGTCTATGGGTTTGTTAATTTATCAATTAACACAAAATAACAGATAAGTAAATTACATTATGAGGTAGATAGTTTCATTTGATCTCAGTGCTTCTGTCTCCTCATAACAAAAATATCATGTAGATGTCATCTAAATGCCCTTCATTCTGAGAACTGATCACAACATCTTTCACACAGTGTATCCCAAGTTTTAATCTTCAGCATTTGTTCATCACAGTGAGTATGGAATAGAAAACAATTGTGGGCCGGTGTGGTGGCATAGCGGGTAGAGCTGCCGCCTACAGTATTGGCATCCCATATCTGTGCTAGTTCAAGTCCTGGCTGCTCCAATTATGATCCAGTGCTCTGCTATGGTCTGGGAAAGCAGTGGAAGATGGCCCAAGTTATTGGGCCCCTGAACCCACGTGGGAGACCCAGAAGAAGCTCCTGGTTTCAGATCAGCACAGCTCTGGCCGTTGTGGCCAACTGGGGAGTGAACCAGAGGACAGAAGACCTCTCTCTCTCTCTGCCTCTCCCTTCTCTCTATGTAATTCTTTCAAATTAATTAATTAATTAATTAATTTTAAAAAAGGAAAGAAATGTATTTGCACTAGAGAGGAAATATGCATAGACTCCTTCTCAACGGGTACCAGACATGGGAAATAGGGACAGGCAGGGATCAAGTACAGATCAGGGATAAGCTACTGAACTTGCACATTCTGCTTGAGTCTCCAGTATCATTTCATCTCAAAAACCCTTCACTCTCTCAATACCTGGCACTGGCAACGACAAAAACCCTAGAAGTCAATTGACCTCAAAACTGAGACACAGGAATCCACAACTCAATCCCACAGAAAAGAAATCCAATGAACACACCTTCGAAAGAGGATGTTGAAATAGCGTATGCATTCGGGGTGGCTGGGTCGGAGTTCCTTGGAAAATCGCAGTGTAATCTGTATAACTTTATCATCCTCATTTCGGCCGAACATCTTGTCCTTGAGGTACACAACAGCAAACAAGTGTCCAGATGCTCCTCTCAGAAAGCTCATTTCTACATACTACATGGCACAACCGTCTTTCCCCGAGACACAAGCATACAGAAAATGTGTTCCACAAAAATGAAGCATCAGAGTTTAATACTGAAAACATCCTAAATTCCTATAAATTGACTATAGAAAATTTATTGGAGAAAATAAGACCTATGAAAGTGATGGGAATTTGGGGGGCGGGGAGCTGAAGTTTTGAAGGAAATACTAAATTATTCAAAATTTTGTTACTAGCTTTTTTTGGTCATTTGGTGCTTAAACTTCACTTAAATGCCATGGAAGTACTAAAAACTGAGGCATTATTGAGTATCAGTGAAGATGAAACATGCATATGGCCTTTGTCACAAGTGACATGGCCAAGAGGGCCTAAGGATATCTTTATGAACCAATGTAGACAAAGTTTTATTTTGAAAAACAGAAGTGGAGGCCAGTGCCGCGGCTCAACAGGCTAATCCTCCGCCTTGCAGCGCCAGCACACCGGGTTCTAGTCCCGGTCGGGGCACCAGATTCTGTCCTGGTTGCTCTTCTTCCAGGCCAGCTCTCTGCTGTGGCCCAGAAAGGCGGTGGAGGATGGCGCAAGTGCTTGGGCCCTGCACCCCATGGGAGACCAGGAGAAGTACCTGGCTCCTGCCATTGGATCAGTGCGGTGCGCTGGCCACAGCATGCCAGCCATGGCAGCCATTGGAGGGTGAACCAACGGCAAAAGGAAGACCCTTCTCTCTGTCTCTCTCTCTCACTATCCACTCTGCCTGTCAAAAACAAAACAAAACAAAACAAAAAAAACAAACAAAAAACACAGAAGTGGAAATGGGAAAGGAAGGCAAAGGTCCAATAGCAATACTTAACCACATTTTCTACTTTTCTGGGTAATATTAACGAGTTTCCATCCAACAGAAAGTAATTCCCAAGTTCTGACTTGTTTTGAAGAAGTAAATCCGTACGAAGGGCAGTATCTTCTACTTCTGGGTTGAAGTCCACGTTGTATACATAAGCATTCCACTGGGGCCGGGACGTCACCCGGAAATGGTTGGCCATAAGCTTTACCTTTGTACCTTCTGAACCTGGAAGATTGAGCCACATGGCAATAATCAAAGAAGATGACCCACTGAACCAAGGAATTCAGATGCTGCTCTTGTGACAGCGGCAGTTAGCTGCACCAAGGACATAAACAAAACAGTGAATATTTGTCTTTATCTGGTGTCCAGAATGTCACACCAGCAATTTTCAAAGTGCAAGCCCACAAGGATAAAGTTTGAGTAAGATTAAAATATTTAACAATGGGGCCAGCACTGTGGCAGAGTGGGTAAAGCTGCTGCCTATAATGCTGGCATCCCATATGTGCGCCAGTTCAAGACCTGGCTGCTCTACTTCCAATCCAGCTCTCTGCTATGGCCTGGAGGAGCGGTGGAAGATGGCCCAAGTCCTTGGGACCCTACACCCACGTGGGAAACCCAGAGGAAGTTCCTGGCTTCAGATTGGCACAGCTCCGACCGTTGTGGCCAACTGGGGAGTGAACCAGTGGATAGAAGGCGTCTCCCTCTCTCCTTCTGCCTCTCCTTCTCTCTCTGTGTAACTGACTTTCAAGTAAAATAAATCTTTTAAAAATATTTAACAATAAAAATAAGGCAAGAACAAAACTTCTGCTCCTTCCAGAAGGGAATTCAGTGAGCTACCATGTGTAACAATATTTAATTAAAAAAAAAAAAATCTTGGGGCTGGCACTGTGGTGCAGCGGGTTAACACCTTGGCCTGAAGCGCCGGCATCCCATATGGGCACCAGTTCAAAACCTGTCTGTTCCAATTCTGATCCAGCTATCTAATATGGCCTAGGAAAACAGCAGAAAATGGCCCAAGTCCTTGGACCCCTGTACCCGTGTGGGAGACCCGGAAAAAGCTCCTGGCTCCTGACTTCAGATGAGCACAGCTCTGGCTGTTGCAGCCAATTGGGGAGTGAACCATCCGATGGAAGACCTCTCTCTCTCTGCCTCTGTTCTCTGTGAAACTCTGACTTTCAAATAAACAAATTATTTAAAAAAAAAATCAACACAACCAAAGAATCAGTCATTTTACTTAAAGGGCTATAAAAGGAAAAGAATACAGAATTCATTCAAGACTTTGCCAGAATTGTCATTTCTGCACAAGTAAATGCTATTACAAGTATGTGTGTGGTGAGGAGGTGCCTCCACTTAACACTGATGATAGGAAGCTTTAGAGAGTCTGTTACACACAGAATTTCTGTTTCTAACCCAACACTTACAGCCAACAGCTCTATAAAACTAAATTGTTACAGGCCAGCTTACCTATTTTTGATGTTTTAACGTGTTCCATGTTCTGCCTGGTATTTACCACATGGTCTTCAAAGAGTCCGCCAGTCCTCGGCGTCACTGATAATGTCTGCAATTTAGCCGAAAGCTCAGCTTCTCCTAGGGATGAAGAAAGGTAAAAGGCAGAGATTTACTCAGTGAAAAGGGAAATGTAATTAAAAAAAGACATTAGCAACCCCCAGTTACTCCAAGAGGTAAGGTTGAAAAGATGACATCACAGGATCTGAGTGACATCATCTCAATGGGTTGCCATTAAAGCCTTTTTATCAAGTCCCCAGTCTACGCCCGTGGTTGCCTTGGCATTCCAAATATTTCTCTCTCTTTTTAAAGAATTATTTGAAAGTTACAGAGAGAGGGAGAGACAGGTCTTCCACCTGTTAGTTCCCTCTCCAAATGGCCACAACAGCTGGAGCTGTGCTGATCCAAAGTCGGGAGCCAGGAGCTTCTTTCTGGTCTCCCATATGGGTGCAGGGGCCCAAGCACTTGGGCCATCTTCTGTTGCTATCCCAGGCCACAGCCTGGATTGGAAGAAGGGCAGCAGGGGCTTGAACTGGAGCCCATATGGGATGCCAACACTGCAGGCTGGGGCTTTAACCCACTGCACCACAGCGCTGGCCCCTATTCCATCTATTTCTGTTAAGGCGTTTGCTCTGTTTCATCAGGTACTTGCTCACAGGCCAACATTCTAGAAATCTAGGTTCTGGCTCTCCATCTTCCAATCAGCCCACTCCTTGGCACTACACTGCCTTTAGTGGCCATCAGGAAGTGACCGGTGAAATGGGCTTTTGATACGAAATGATCTATTTTTTCTATTAGTAGTAATTGCAATTTTACTAAATTTTAAGATTTAAATAGATTTAGGTGGTTCTACAAAGTCAGCATTTGAATAACACTGCAAAGCAGTTTTTCAGTGAGAAGCGGTATTGCAAAACCAAGACTATATACACGTTCTCTGTAAGTCCTATATCTGAATGGTCAAGAGAGGCCATGTCTTGGGTTACAAATTTTTTTTTTTTACAGGCAGAGTGGACAGTGAGAGAGACAGAAAGGTCTTCCTTTACTGTTGGTTCACCCTCCAATGGCCACTGCAGCCGGTGCACCGCGCTGATCCGAAGGCAGGAGCCAGGTGCTTCTCCTGGTCTCCCATGGGGTGCAGGGCCCAAGCACTTGGGCCATCCTCCACTGCACTCCCAGACCACAGCAGAGAGCTGGACAGGAAGAGGGGCAACTGGGACAGAATCCAGCACCCCGACCGAGACTAGAACCTGGTGTGCCGGCACCGCAAGTGGAGGAATTAGCCTATTGAGCCATAGCGCCAGCCCAAAAATTGTTTTCTTAAAAATGGTAATTCTGGAAACCATTATGCCTAGTTTATGATACTCTTACAAGAGTCTCAATTTTTATAATTGAAAAATTATTTAACTATATTTTATTCATAGAAGTCAGTGATTTTTAACAAACTCTCAACTAATTCCTGACAAATGTAGCAATCAAACACATTAAAATTCATTTATTGACATTTGCAACATCACATGTACTATACAGTTAATCCCAATGCCTCAGAGGTATCATCAGTTAACAAAAAAAGGAGTACTTCAAAAAGTTTATGGACAAGTAGAATTAAGGGAGAACTTTTGGATGGGCCTGTGTTGTGGCATAGTGGGTAAAGCCACTGCCTGTGATACTGGCATCCCATATGGGTGCCAGTTTATATGCTAGTTGCTCCACTTCTGACCCAGCTCCCTGCTAACAGCCTGGGAAAAAGCAGTGGAAAATGGTCCAAGTGTTTGGGTCCTTGCCTCCCATGTGCTTCTGGTTTCAGCCTGGCCCAGCACTGGCTTTTTGCTGCCCTCAGGTTGGAGGGGTGAATCAAAGGATGGAAGATTTCCCTGTCTCTGTGGTGCCAGCATCCCATATGAGCACCGGATCATGTCTCGTCTGCTCTTATTCTGATCCAGTTCTTTGCTGTGGCCTGGGAAAGCGGTAGACCCAGAAGAAGCTCCTGGTTTCGATCTGCTCAGGTTCAGCTGTTGTGGCCGTTGGAGAGTGAACCAGCAGATGGAAGATCTGTCTCTCCCTCTCTCATTCTACCTCTCAAATAAGTAAAATATTTTAAAAGGAATTTTTCAAAAATATATTTTGGTACAAAATATTTTTGAAATCCAGAGCAGACTCTTATCCTACTGGTTAAGTTGCCTGCATACTTCATGGGAATACCTGGTATGATTCCCAGCTCCAACTTCTGACTCAAACTTCCTGCTAATGCAGACCCTGGGTGGCAGCAGGGGAGGGACTCAAGTAGTTGGATTCCTGCTACATTCACAGGAGACCTGGACTAGGCATTTGGGGAGAAAACCAGCAGATGAGATCTGTCTGTCACCCTGTCAGTGCTTCTTATAAAATTCAATTTTTGAAATCTGCATCATTTTAAGATTTATTTATTTGAAAGTTAGAGTTACACAGAGAAAAGGAGAGAGAGAGAGAGAGGTCAGTCTTCCATCTACTGGTTCACTCCCCAGTTGGCCGCAATGGCTGGAGCTGTGCCGATCCAAAGCCAGGAGCCAGGAGCTTCTTCCCGGTCTCCCACATGGGTGCAGGGCCCAGGGTCTTCAGTCATCTTCTACTGCTTTCCCAGGCCATCGTAGAGAGCTGGATCAGAAGTGGAGCAGCTGGGATATGAACCCACGCCCATATGAAATGCCAGCACTGCAGGTGGAGGCTTTACCCGATATGCCACAGTGCCAACCCCTGCATCGTTTTCATAATATACATCTCCATGAACTTTAAGACCCTTGTATGTATGAATTTATTTTTGGCACCAAAGCAAACTTAAAATTCTCCCTTCTATGAACTTTTTAAATTACCCTCCTCTATATTTTAAGTACTCAAATGTATAGCTTCATTTTAAGGGTTCTGGATTCTGTATTGTTCTAACATTTACCTGTTTTTTTTTTTTTTTCATGTTTACAGTTTGACCCCTCAGAAGCTATTTTTGCTATAAGAAGTGGATAATCAGTTCTGGATATTTTATCACATTAGCTTTGGATATTTTAATCACAAGTTCTTGGCAAATGACAATTCACAAGCCTGTGTGCTCACTTGTACCAGTGTAATGCGGGTCACTTGTGACCTGTGAAGGATGGGACATTGCGGGTGAAACACCCAGAAGGTCAAGGAGTTGTCTGAACTTGCAAATACAGCAATTTAAGAAGTCAAGGAGGAGGCTCGTACTGGTGCTGTGGCATAACAGGTTAAGCCACCGCCTGCAGTGCCGGCATCCCATATGGGCGCTGGTTTGAGTCCCGGCTGCTCCACTTCTGAGCCAGTTCTCTGCTATGGCCTGGGAAAGCACTAGAAGATGGCCCAAGTCCTTGGGCCCCTGCACCTGCATGGGAGACCTGGAGGAAGCTCCTGGCTTCAGGTCAGCCCAGCTCTGGCTGTTGCAGCTATCTGAGGAGTAAGCCAGCGGATGGAAGACCTCTCTTTCTCTCTCTGTGTCTGCCTACTGTAACTTTGCCTTACAAATAAAAATAAATAAATCTTAAAAAAAAAAAGCAGCAAAGAAAAGATGTCCCTAGAATTCCTAGTTAACTGAACTATTTTAGACAAATATTTTGTAAAATTTTGAAAAGCAATTCTATCGAGTTGCCTTATGAAAAACCATCTTTGTCCTAAGCTTTTATGTTTAAGGCCAAACACTGACAGCCTGATAATTCACTGAAGGACAGGACAAAGTCACAGCTGTAAATTCCCCATTCTGCCAAACCTCATGGGAATTTGAGGCTGTGTGTCCACAACTTTCTATCGTTAGAAGGCACCTGCTGCATTAAGCATCCCCTAACCCTCATCTTACCCCCATTCCCCACTCACCTGGAGATGGGGCTCCTCCTTCTGCTCCTTTTTGTTGCTCACGTGCAGCCGGCAGGCCTCTCTCCCACGCGGCCCCTGGGCTTCTCCCGCGCACAGCTGCTCTGCCTCTCGAGCGTGCAGCTGCGGGGCCTCTAGCGCGCGCACGGCCTGGGCCTCTGGCACGTGCACGGCCTGGGCCTCTGGCACGCGCATGGCCTGGGCCTCTCTCCCATGCAGCCCCTGGGCCTCTCTCCCATGCAGCCCCTGGGCCTCTCTCATGCGCAGGGCCTGGGCCTCTCTCCCATGCAGCCCCTGGGTGTCTCTCAGGCGCAGGGCCTGGGCCTCTCTCCCATGCAGCCCCTGGGCGTCTCTCAGGCGCAGGCCCTGGGCCTCTCTCCCATGCAGCCCCTGGGCCTCTCTCCCATGCAGCCCCTGGGCCTCTCTCCCATGCAGCCCCTGGGTGTCTCTCAGGCGCAGGCCCTGGGCCTCTCTCCCATGCAGCCCCTCTCTCTCGTGTGGCTGCTGGGCCTCCCTCTGGTTGTAGCTGACGTCCAGACTGGAATTGAACAGATAGTTGGGTCTGTACATTTTCAGAGATGAAACTAAAGATTAGTGCTTCCTATATGTTCATTCATCACTCCAATGGCATTATCAGGGCATAAAGCCAGAGACCTTCTTTAGAAGAGCTCACATTCCAGTGACAGGAAATAAATTTTATAAACAATTCATAGTACCTTGCATGTTAATTGCTAGAGAAACGAAGAAAGCATGACACACAATGAGGAGGATCAGGAGTTACCAGGAAGGTAAGGTATGAATGGGTGGGTTGCACTGATTAACAGGAACAAAGGAGAGCCTCAGCACAAGGTGACATTGAACCAAAGAGTCAAAGGTGGGGGATGGATTAGCAAAGTGACACAAGCCATACATGGGGGAAAGCAATGAGTTGCTCAGGTAGGATAATTCAAGGAAGAACAAGGAGGCCTGTAGTTGGAAGAAGGCAAGTGAGGGGAGACTTTGGAGGAGCAGCCAGCAAGAGGAAGGTGGCCTTCTGTCTGATCCCATGAGGGTGGGAGTCCTCCCATGGGTTGGAAACAGGAGCTACTTGATTTATCTGGTACTGCTCTTATTAAAAAAAAAAAGAAAAAGAAAAGGTTTACTTGAAAGGCAGAGTTACAGAAAGAGGGGGAGAGGCAGAAGCAGAGAGACATCAATCTGCTGGTTCATTCCCCAGATAGTCACAATGGCCAGGGGCGGCATCAGGCCAAAGCCGCAAGCTCCAAACTCCATCCAGGTTGCCCCTGTGTGTGGCAGGGGCCCAAGCACTGGGGTGCATCTTCTTCTGCTTTTCCAGGTACATCAGAACGGAGTTGGATGGGAAGTGGAGCAGACTGGGTGGCACCCCCATTGGATGCTGGCGTTGCAGGCAGTGGCTTGACTGCTACACCTTAATGCCAGCCCACCTGGTTCTGCCTCAGAGCACATTCTTGGGTGGGTTGGGGGGACAGGTAAGAGCAAAAACCAGGAAACCAGGAAGCCACTGCATGTCTGGCAAGGGTAGGCATGGTCTGGACCAGAAGGTCCAGGTAAGAAATTGCCAGCCCCTGGGTAGTTTTTGATGGAAAAAGATAAAGCCGACAGTATTCCCTTGTTGTTTATACAGAAGTTACTGGTGAAGAGAGGAGTTTGAGATGAATCCAGAGACTGACCTAAGCAAGCAAAAGAAGGCAACTCCTTAGAAGGCAGTGGTGTTGGCATGCTGGGGAGGGAAACTGGGAGTGTGGGATGTTTGTGGACATCTGGGGGATCTGTGTAGTACATGAGGGTGTCTGGCTGGATATTTAGGCAGGAGGACCTGCTCACATCCCAGACAGCATTTGAAACCATGGCACCAGGTAATGGCACTGAGGGAGGGAGTGTACATGGGAAACCTGCAGGCTGGAGCCAGGGCAGAGCAAGAGGGCCAGGAGGGGAATCCAGCCGAGGAAAGAACGGATGTGGCCAGCAACGAAGCAGGTGTGCAGCGCCACCACGTGGAGGCAGGTCATCAAGGAGGAGAGGGGGCTCCACGAGGCTAAGCACAAAGGACAGGGCAAGCTCAGAGAGATCAGAACCGACCTAAATTTGGGAAAGAGAAGCGAACAGGGAGCAGCTGCAGTAGAGTGGCGCCCAAGAGGCTGCCTGGAGAGAAAGGAGGGGACAAGAGCCAGTGCTCAGAGTGGACAGAAGACTCTGGCAGCCAGAAGCAAGCAAAGACAGACAAGCCAGGAGGGGAATGCAGTAGCTGTGAGGGAAATGGAATCAGGGATGGATTCCTGTGGAATGGGAGGAAACTCAGCGGGTGTGAATGCTGATGGGAATAATCTAGGTAAGCAGACTCCTGCTGCCCAGGGAGAAGGGACGGACACTTGCAAGAGAGATGTTCCAGGATAAAGGAGCTGTTAAGAGGCCTGGGTGTAAGTGAAGATATTTCCTCTAGGCGGGCACAGAGCTAGTGCCCCTGGAGTCTCAGGGGATGGCAGGCTGGGCAGGTGCTTTCCCTCTCCCAGTTAAAGTCTCAGGATTAGGAGCAGGGAGGAGGGGTTGAGGTTTGAGGGCAGAAGCAAAGGAGAGAGGAGCAACAATCAGTAGGGAGATTGGGCTTGGATGATGACGTGTGACTGCCAGAAAGGACAGGGTCCCACTAGGGATTGGGAGGCAGGACCCCTTAGCATTGCTGGGGGTCTTCTATATGAATATGGATATTCAGCCACAGACAGCATTGACCCCAAGTTTTTAAACACTCCTGGAAATTCTATCTGCCTTGGACCATGCAAGTACAAGAGCATGTCAACAATTGTGTGGAAAGTGGAATTAATAGACATGTTTATTTTGGTGTCAGCATTTTTGAAATCCATGCATACTAGGGGTTTTCAACAAGTTCATGAAAATTGCATACCATTATTTTTAAAAAACTATGCATGGATTTTGAAAATATTTCACACACACACCTTTTAATTTCATTTTCTCCATGAACTTTGAGAACCCCATTTTACGTTCGTGAGGTAGATCATTTTGAAGTCAGTTTCAAAGAGGAGTCCCCAGCTGAACGCAAGGAACGTAAAAACCATTGCAACCTGTTTGGGTTGCAAGCAGGTCTGAGTTTGCACACATGAAGCAAACAAGAGCAGGAAGCAGTTGAGAGTGTACCCAGGTGGGTAAGTGCTCCCCCTTGCCAACACCCATGGAATCTGATTTTCTTAGGAATTTTTACAAGCTCTCATTATGCAGGAGACGATCCTGCACCTAAATGACACTGGCTCAACAATGGGCTCCATAGGCCTATCTTTTGTGTACAGGAAGCAGTGAACATTACAGGACTCACTGCGGCAGGTGCCGTGGATTGGGGCCTTGTCTCAGAGAAGAGTCTGCCTTGGAAATTTCTCCTAGACCTGCCGGACATGGTGGTCCTGAAGATGGTGACCCTGAAGGCGGGAAGTCCTGAGAGAGCATGGTTAGATTAGACAAACTTCTGAAGTTCCATTCTCCCACCCCTCTTATTGCTGCTTCAATGGAAGCATCAGACTACTAACTACATGCTGCTCCAATCACACCGATTGAATAAGATGCAATGAGTAGGCAGAGAAGCAGCCCTGTAGTGAAACACAGGGGACCTGGGCAAAATATCCCTAGGGAGTTTACAAGTTTGTTAGCTGCAATTTTTCTCCCCGGATACAGACCCACAAGACACTACAGTTTACTGCGTTTGAAAGTCAGGGGAGTCACAGGTTCTCTCCTACCAGGCAGCCCCTAGACCCCCAGCTCCACCCCGCCACTCAGCGGGTCCTTTACTCATCTCATCTTCTTGGTCCTTCAGGAACCCCTCTCACAGCTCACCTGTCCTCCTCAGGGATCAGGCTGACCTCTGCACCGTGCACCCACACTCTGTGATGTCACCCAGCAACACCTGAGCACAGGTGTCCACGGAGCCAGAGATGCAGCACTCCTTTCTAGGAGGCAGAAGATCAAGGCCGAGCTCAGCTCCTGACACTTGCCAGGATGCAGCCCGGCTCTCCTGCGAGATGATGCCCGGCACACTCAGAACAGACGCAGGTGCCCGCCCACAGGCTCGGCCCAATTTGAATTCGACGCTGTGAGCCCGGCCTCCTCTGGCGCCGCCTCCATCTCTGCCCCAAGGAGGCCGGCGCTGAGCTGCACCTGGTAAGCTCAGAGATGCTCCCAAGTCTTAGTGGAGTGGGATCGGGGAGGTGGAGGGGGAAGGTGACAGGGAGAGGGTGTTCAGACATTGATTTAGTTCCTCCAAGAGGCAGCATCCATGCTCCTGAAAACTGTTTGGGCTCATACATGAGTCTGAGGAAGAGGCCCATGGTGTCTGGGTAACTGTTAAAAGTGGGTCTTGGAAGGCAGCCTTGGATGGCTGTGGGTCATCGCTGTTGTCAGTGTGTGTACTGCTTTTAAATTCTTATCCATCGAGAGGAGAGTAACCCAGGAAGGAGGGTGTGGGAGGAAGAGGGGAGGAAGAGGAGAAAGATCTGGGGCACTGGGCAGGTGAGATGCTCCCAGACCTCACAGTGTCCGGCCTGGTCCTCAGGTGTAGCAGGTTCTCAGGAAAGGTTTCTTGAGCTTGCATTCATCACACCTGGATTGTTTGATTCCCAGCCTCCCTGGGCTACCTGGGGCACTCTCCAGCACATCTTCTTGAATGCCTTTGGAGAAAGCTGTCCAATTTTGCTTCCTACTGGTATTATAGGTCATATGGCAGATTCATCCCTGGGTATCATGTACTTTACTAATCTGCTTATTGTCAGTTTCTCATAGGTAGAACACAAGGGCCATGCCGGAAGGACCCTGGTCTGTTCTTTCACAGCTCTTAGACACAAGAGTGCTTGGCAAAGAGTAAGTGTTCAATTAATACCCAAAGAGCGAGTAAGTGAACAGTAGTGGTTACATTCAATAATGAATGCAAAAGGAAGTCAGTCTATGCAATAACTCTTATAAATAACTGCATATGCCACACAGTTCTCATCATGATTGGTTCTGAAGGGATAAAATGAAGAAAAATGCTAGTTTTCCTGGGTCAAAAAGGAAAGAGGAGCAGTGGGAGGTGCAAAAATGGCAATTACAGCGATAAATGACTAAATATAATCTGAGTGTTCATTCATTAGACATATGTTGGAGATATATAGTCACATTTATTTATTTACAACTGCAATGGGAAAACACACCAACACAAACCTGAAGAAAGTCAGTTAATGGAAAAAAATCATAAAACTGGGGATGAAAAACACAGCAAAGTACAGAAAAGGTGGTTCTTAAAAAACAAAAACAAAAACAATGATAGGCAGACCATCCAGCAGCATAATGAAGTAGAAAAGAGGGCTCAGAGTTGAAAAGAGAATGAAGATACCACAAAGAAGTAAAACAGAAACAATTATCAGGGAGCTATTAGCACACCTCTGCCAACTAATAGAGAAACCTGGGTGAAATGAATGGTGTTCTACAAAAATAGGCTACAAAAGGGCCTACTCTGACCACCCAACATAAAACTGCACCTGTCACTCTCTCCCCTTTCTCACCAGGTGACCTGTCCATTAGTGGCAGGTGCCTATCCTGACTCATCAGAAGAGAGACTCCTTGTGCTGCACCCTCAGGACTCAGCAGAGTGACGGCCACCTCGTTGACTCCCAGGGATACTAGTAAATGAAAGAATAAAGGGCCAGGAAAGGAACGTTGTACAAACAACTCCAGTCCCAAAAGTTGCTCCAGGGAATGCTTCCTCATCAAGGATTGGGTAATTCTCATTGAACACATTTGCTTTTAAGGAAAGGCAGCTGAGGGACCAGCACTGTGGCATAGCGGGTAAAGCCGTCACCTGCAATGCCGGCATCCCATATGGGTACCAGTTTGAGTCCTGGGTGCTCCACTTCCAATCCAGCTCTCTGCTGTGGCCTGGGAAAGCAGGAAATGTACCGCATGAGAGACCTGGAAGAAGCTCCTGGCTCCTGGCTTTGAATCTGTGAAGCTCCAGCCATTGTGGCCATTTAGGGAGTAAACCAGCAGGTGGAAGACCTCTCTCTCTCTCTCTCTCTCTGCCTCTCCTTCTCTCTCTGTGTAACTCTACCTTTCAAATAAATAAATAAATCTTTTTTAAAAATGAGGACTTCAAAAATAATGAGCACCATGGGTCCTTTATGCTGGCTATGCATTGGTATCACCTGGGAGCTTGTAAAGAGCTACCAATTCCCGGTGCCAGCTCTGCAGAGTTCTTGCTTTAGCTGGCCCAAAGTGGAGTCCAGCCTCCTGGATTCATGAAACCTCACAGATGACTGATGTCAGATGAGTTAGAGCGCTGACAACCCTGAGAAGCACTGGTACAAACAGGATTCACACCTGCTGTTAGGTCCCAGTCAGAATACCTGTCTTGTTGCAAATTTCAACTCCAAATACATAATGTCTTCGTCGTATGCTTGGATCAACAGAAACTTGTTACTGTAGTATAGTCAAATTTATCATTTTCCTCTATGCTTTGTGCTTTTTGACTGCCTTAAATTTTTTTCTAGGACCAGTGTTGCAGCAAAGTGGGTAAAAGCTGCCGCCTGTGATGCCGGCATCCCATATGGTTGCCAGGTCAAATCCCAGCTGCTCCACTTCTGATCCAGCTCCCTGTTAATTGCCTGGGAAAAGCAGCAGAAGTTGGCTAAAGTGCTTGAGCCCCTGCACCCATACAGGAGATCCAAATGAAGCTCCTGGCTCCTAGTTCCTGGCTTCTGGCTTTGGCCGGGTCCAGCCCTGGCCATTTCAGCCATTTGTGGAGTGAATCAACAGATTGAAGATTCTCTGTCTCCTTCTTCTTCCCTCCCTCCATCTCCCCCTATCTCTTCCTCTTTCTCTGTAACTCTGACGTTCAAATAAATAAATCTTTTAAAAAAAAAAAAACAGAAATGAAGATTCTCAGACTCTACTGAGTCCTGTTGAATTAAAATGTGATCGTTAATTTGATCCATAAGGAATTCAAGAACATGCTTGCATTGCTCTCTCTGTTTATCAGTTTTAGGCTTTTTCTATTCACACTGAAGTGCCCTGCCTTCCCATTACCGACATCAATTGTCAGAGCTCCCACTTTAGCGGTTACATAAATGCAATTCACAGCGGAGCCATCAGAGAGCCTCTGAGTGCTCTTCTCTGCTTCTGCAGTTTTTGGTTTTCCCTTGAAAACCTTAATTGTTCAAACTCTAAAATTTTCTTGGTAATAATGTTTCATTAAATCTCCAAATCTCTTTCAATACTTGTAGACACAATCAATGTTCAGCCAACTCCTCTCTCACTCTTTCCTGGAGCCTCTAATCTCCCACGTGGGAGGCAAATTTATTATGAACTTGCATTTTTTAAAAAGATTTATTTGAAAGGCAGAGTTAGAGAGAGAGAGATTTTGCATTCATTGGTTAATTCCCCAAATGAGTACAAAGGTGGGGGCTGGGTCTGGCCTAATCCAGGAGCCAGGAACCTCATCCACATGGGTGGCAGGGGCCCAAGCACTTGGGTCATCTTCGGCTGCTGTCCTGGGTGCATTAGCAGCTGGATTGGAAGTAGAGCAGCCAGGATTTGAACTGGCACCCATATGGGATGCTGGCATCTCAGGTGGCAGCTTAACCCACTGCACCACGATGCTGGCCCTCCATGAACTTGCACATTTCCAAAATGTCTTCCCTCCAACCTTTGCTTACGTGACAGTTGGGCTGTGTACAACCTTCCAGGTTGGAAATAATTTGCCCAAGGACACAGATTGATTGTTTCTTGACTTCTACTACTGCTGTGAAAAAAGCCTAGCAACATGGGCTGGTTGTAGAATTATAAGCCACAAAGAAGCATGAAGTTGGGGCCGGCAATGTGGACTAGTGGGTTGAGCCACTACCTGAGATGTCGGCATCCCATTCCGGTGCGGTGTTCAAGACCCGGCTGCTCCACTTCCGATCCAGCTCCTTGTTGGTGCACCTGGGAAAGCAGAGAAAGATGGTCCAGGTGTTTGGGCCTCTGCACCCAGGTGGGAGACCCAGGAGAAGCTACTGGCTCCTAACTTCAGCCTGGTCCGGCCCTAGCTGTTGAAGCCATTTGGGGAGTGAACCAGTGGATGGAAGATCTCTCGCTCTCTGTAATTCTACCTTTCAAATAATAAATCATTTAAAAAAATAGAACTCGAAGTAATTGGATGTGATCTTTTTATCTTCTCCGTTCTGAAATTTCACCGTATTGTTCTATTTTCATTCATTGCCATGAACCACGATTTACTGTTTAATCTGGTAATTAGTGCCTTGGGTAATTAAAAATAATTTTGTCTTGGATTTATTACCTTTGGCGATTTTCTATGTTTCAGTATTGGCCTTCCTGAGGCAGTTCATTTCACCATTTCTTGATTTTTTGCTATATGTTCCCAGAGACTTCCTCATCTCTACCACCTAGTTTTTCTGCTTTTGTATTTTTAATATCCAAGATCTCCTTTTCTTTTCCTTTTATTTTAAAAATTCATCGATTTGTTTGAGAGACAGAGAGGGGGGAGAGCTCCTCCCTGCCAGCTCATTCCTTGAAGGCTTGTAATGACAGGGACTGGGCCAGGCTGAAACCAAGAGGAGAGAACTCGACCGAGGCCTCCCACATGGGGGGAAGGGAGCCAACTA